TATGTGTTTTATTTGGATAGTATTTGTTTGTGTTTATATGTTTATGTATACGGCAAATTACCCTCATGCCCCTCAAAAGCCATTTATTTACTCTCATGCCCTAAAATTGAGAGATAATTTACTTTTATGCCCCTTGGATTCTATGATAGATTCTATACATTTTAGGCTAGATTCTATAATAGAAGTATAGATTCTAGTCACTTTAGGTTATATTTTATAAGGAAAGGATAGATTCTATAGGAGGATAGATTCTATAATAGAAGTATAGATTCTAGTCACTTTAGGTTATATTCTCTAAAGAAAGAATATATTCTATAAACGAAGTATAGATTCTATAGGTATATCACTATCTTTTTCTCAAATTTTATGATTTTTTTCTTTTCAAGCTAATTATAGACTTGAATCGATAATTATGAGATAGATTCTACTATAGAATCTATATAGAATCTCAGGGGCATGAGAGTAAAACTTAAATGATTTAAAGGGTAAAGAGTAATCAAATGACTTTTGGGGGGCATGAGACTAATTTGCCGTTATATATATGTATATGTATATGTGTGTTTGAGCAATACAACACAACACAATACAATATAGTATCACAATGAATATAAACAAATTTTACAACCTCCTACCTATGGAGAGATACATACACACATCTACATCCATATAATAAATCCATCTCCCCCTCCTCCCCCAAGCCAATCCCCAACCAAACACTCCCCCAAAGACTTGGAAAATCTGTAAAAGCACACACCGAGCAAGTATCAAGAATCAAGAATCAATAAAAGAATCTTATAATCCTACTATCTACCTCCAATTCCCTTCCCAAATTTCAGGAATCTCCATGATTATCTTGATCATCTTGATGATCGGAGCATGTACTCCAGTACCCACAGACTTCCCATTTGCTAAAGATTTTTTTCTTCACCAGAATTGCAACTTAGCTCGTAAGATTTATGATATGATATGATACCATACGATACGGCAATGGTATGGCATGTCATGATACGATGCGATACAACGATACACACAAGTAACGGAGTTCAGGAATAGGGATAGGAATAGGAATAAGAGTAAGAGGAGTTACCATAACCCAAATACCACATATCATTCTTCATCCCCCAAGATACATTATCGAATTCCAATTCAAGCGAGTCCAGATTCCAGAATATATACACACCTAGTGCTCGAGGAAACCACTTCTCGACTACGACACATACATATTTACACATCTCCGCAATATCAATCCCCCCAAACAACCATCAAGAATCTTCAGCACTCCAATCAGAAACCCTCAAACTCCTCCTTCTCATTCCCCATATTCGCAATGCAACATCGTGTTGCATTCCAAAATAGGCTATAACGCATACGCATATCCGGATCTCCCTTTATATATATATATATATATATCCAACACACGATATATCTGACGCAATTTTCGCGAAATTAATCTATATACCTAGCGCCTTTGGATGCTACCCCATAGAACATAAACGGACACTGCGACACACTAACTACACATGGAAAGACGTTGACTCGGAGACGTCGCCAAGTCCCGATCCTGCAAATGGCGAGACCAGTAATCCCTACCTTACATGAAACAAAACGTAACGGTAAGACAACACCAGGACTGTCTAGCAAACCAATGTTCCCATCCATTTGGGATTCTCAGACCAACACTCGAGACAAAACCTATCGAATTAACTTCCTGAGAATAAACAAATCAATTTCCATCTGTCCATACATCGTCTCCAGTTACTCTAATCGCGCGCTTGGGACTCGTATGTATGTACACGTGCGTGCAGATATAACAGTACACTTGTTTTCCTTACTCCGTACAGCTTTGTACGTGTTGTACACCATTCAAGACCATTTCGCTACTCCACCTTCTATTTATCTCCAGGGGAATCTCCGGTTGGTTCGAGCTTTTGAGTGTAGAGTACGTGCAGTTGTGGCTTGCAGGCTTTTAAAGAATACCAAGCGCTTGCGATGGTACTTTGTTCATGCAGAAAAAATGGAGAGAAAAGATAACACAGAAGATGGCACTGGAAATGAAAATGGAAATGTAGTCAGCAAGCCATCAAGTCAGCTAGTGCCTAGCAGGCAAGTATAAGTGAAGAACGCAATAAAAACCGAAAAGCAAATGCAAGAAGGCAAATGGATACGTGATGTTAGAGTTCTACCAATCTCTTCTCATGAAGTCATTTTGTAGTTAATAAGTGAAGGGGAATATAGGTACTAGCGAAGTCTGACGTGGTACTTATCCACCTGTCATTGACGATGAAAATGGCGATGTAAAACTGATGTGCCGGATAGCCATAATCATAACCATACTGTTAATCTCCTCAAATCGTCATTTGTCGAAATAAGAAACATCTAGTTCGGTAGGCACGGAGTAATTTGTGATCAGCAAAGGATCCTTGGCACAATGCTACTTACCGAGCCATGAAACCATTGATGATCTGATCTAAAATCTTCGATTCCAACCCCTCCATGATTTGAATGAATCTACAAACTCTAAACGCCGATTTCATTCGACTCGGGGTTGATGCTGGTGTGGTGTGGTGGGGGAAGCATAATGCAACTTGTTCTACTCTTCTAGAAAGAAAAATAAGCTTGATAAACAGACGGTGAAGAAGCGAGATCAATGCAAACTGCACCTGGACAGACCCCAACCCATGTTTACTCGTACACTAGATATGCAGACTTTCTTCCTTCAGTCGTTGGAACTGAAAGTTCTACACAATGTATACGGAGTAAGTATGTCCCTAGGTAGTTCAGTTGTATATATAGGTAGCATTGTTAAGTTCTTCGTGCGGCATAGGTTAATGAACCTTCTTTAGGTTGACCGCACATGACGCCTTTATGTGTTAATCGTATTTATTGGTCCCACCTATGTACAGAGAGTGGTAGTTATGAGCCTACAGAGTGTCTACTATGTGTCTCCAAAAGCTCGTAAACTTTTCAGACGTTGGTGGCGGGGTTATTCTCGAGCCAGCAGTACAAAGGTGGCACACAATAAACGCTTTGACAGTCTCTGTAACATGCGAGGCATGATGGTTGAATCAAGAAGAAGAAAAAAGATGTTAAGATATCGATCCCAGTGACAAGTCTGGTGAGAACTTAAGAAGAAAGATAAGATCTTATCTAAATACCGAAATAAGGTTTGGTTAGATTTTCTGCTTACCTATTAAAATATTCAAAAACCATGTCCATGTCATTGACGCAAGCCATTGTCCTTCCTTTCCCTTCAATCTCAATCTCAATCCCTCAATCTCACCTCCTTCATCTCTCTCGCTTCACCGCTGTCCTTGTCCTTGTAACAAATCTCCAGCCGAAGAAAAGATTTGATAATTTTTTTCTGATGAAGGATTGTTCAGTCGTTTGTTTCCCATTCGCAATCTTAAACAATCGTATTTTGATTATCTGATTACCCAGACAACAACCGTTCCAGTGGGCAACGATAAGAAAATACTCCGTGATACAGATGAAATATCAATTGATCTCTTTCTCCTCCTTCGCTTGCTTTAGAAACGATATGCTTATGCTCATTTCGTTTGAGAATGTCGCAGTGATGCATCCGAAGCATCCGATGTCTAGAAGAATATCTTTGAATAATATGATATATGATGAAAAGCATCAAATCATAATGTTGAGAGTCACCTGCTTCACTGCCTCATGATTGGGGAAGCACTCGTTTTTTTTGGCAGATGAGATGTAATCCCCACACACATTATTGTGCATATCCCATACATGCACGCCGTGCTCTGCTGTATGGCTTGTGGAATAAAGCATTCGCGAGGCGCGGCCAAGCTTACATATTTGACGGCTCATGTAACACACCTTGATGAGTGAGTAGACTAATGGTAGTTAGTCTCTTGGATTTTATGACCGGCATATGCTGCGACCAGCATGTACTATTGGCCTACATATCATATCCTTCATTCCTTTCGATTCTTTTGCCGTGTATGTTCTTTTTGGGATTACCTTCCTAATCATTCATTCATCCCATCCAAATGCATGGAAAATGTGAAAGAGTAAAAAAAACAACCTGTCAAATAGTTCCAGATATCGTAGCCACCACCACTTCAACGATGGCGGGGCTCCTCATGCCGAAAGGCGTCATTCCTATTTTATTTTCCACTGCTTTCTCGTGTCTCTGGTACACCGATCATTCAATGGTGTGTGCGTTAAATCCACTTCTTCCATTCGTTAACAATTTTGTGGATCAAACACTTAGTAAAGCCGTGTAAACCGTTTGTATGGAGTGATGAAGTGATAAAAATGGCATGACAGACAATCATTCTCATATTTGATGGGAGCTGAGTCAGGAACCTAAGCGCGCTTGACTCTTCAAAAAAAGATCACAGACATTCGGAATGTGAAAGATTAGAATAGTTTCACATGACCTTCTCACACGGGTCATCGAGGCTGAAATTTTTGTTTCGCATGTTTCGTATCACCAAACGGATTCGCACTGTGAGTAACATGGATTTGGATGAAAATGTGACTGAGGTCAGGAGAATTCTTAGAGCAGAAAGAGTGTGCCATGGGATGGCTTGACGCGTGTAGATTGTGAAAAGGTGGTGGCGAAGATAGACTGAAAAATGTGTCTCTCGAAGGAGTCACAGCATACAACCAACCCATTGTAAGATATTGAAGCGGTGAAGGAAGAAGGATTTGTAGTTTGGGACCTAAAGATGCAACAGTAGATGAAGGTATCGTAAGAAAAGGCAGACGGTAGCTTATGTTATGTCTGTTCTTGGGCCTTGGCTCGTTCCCCCAGCCCTCAAGTGTCTTGTCCCTTTGGTAGAGAGCGGCCGTAGATAGTAGTTGGCGTAATGATCCACTTAACCGTTTCCCTAATAGGATTTTGAGTTTGGGGGCTTTTTTCTGCACATTCGCTGCCGAGTCTAGGATTCATTTTAAGAAATGCGAATCATAACAAGATTCCTCAAACATTGGAAACTCAAATCCGGAGTGGAGGGGTAAGGAAAAGGATATTCGGGCACGAATTCTCTGGAGGGAAGATTTTGAGGTGACTTGTTAAAGTGATGGTGGGGTGTTTGAGACAAGGATAACTTACAATAAATATGAAAGGTCGGCTGGATGTCTTGGGTGACTATTGCTTGCCTTTCCATAGGAAGCCCTGCAGGCTGTAAATCATTTTTCTGCCCAATAGCCCACCCAGCCTTCAAGATTCTCCATAGCATCCCATCGAAAAAGTATCCAGAGAATTTTCACGATGTTACTCAAAACCTGGTGACCATGGCCAGAAATCTTCCGATTTCCAGAGATCTTGACCCATAACGTTTCGATACTTTCCCCCCTTCGATATGCTTCGTGACGTCGTCGTGAATGTATTCTGTCGGTACTTCTTCGTGCACACCGGCGAGACTGGGTTTTCACGTATCCGACGTGTTCAAAAAAGTGACAGCAGGTCCTTCGTAAATCACGTTATACCCACCCGTTGCGTGAGGGAAGCATTATCAAGGCATCAAGGGACCTTGGAGGGGGTGAGGGTTGAATTCCGAAGACAAGGCGTTGATGAAGGAGATGATGTACATTTGATATGCACCTTGGCAGCCTTGAATCTGGGCAGATACGAGTAATGGTCGTAGATACATGTCGGTGCCGACGAGATGATACCAAAAGAAACAAAACAGGTGTAGATCTGTATGGGGGGGGGAGTGACTGAAACGAGTTTATGTTATGATGTAGCGGTGGTCGACGATGAGGTAGTGTATCAAATTATCAATCCCGTTTTGGTAACATTGCTCCATCGATAAATCTCATCAAGACCAACTGATACTAATATTGTACTATCCACTACCTCCGACCTATTACCTACCTTACTAGGTATTACCTTTTTTACTCTTCTTCTTTTTTCGGCGTTGAACTCGTTTGTTTTGATTTTTCTTCGGTCGGAGGCAGGTAAGCAGCAGCTGTATATGAAAGCTGTGCTGTTACCAGCCAGCCGTTACCATTAAATGATCAAAGTGTTAATTCCTAGACACGCTGCCCATGCCTGCCCATACCTGCCCATATCGAGAATAGCCCTTCCCGCCCTTCTCACCCGTGTGTCTCTTTTTGTATGCACTAGGTAGTATATTTTGGTATATTTTCAATGTTGGTAGGATTTTTCTTCTTTTTTTTTCTTTTAAAAAGGGTCTATTGATCACCTCCCTTGTTACCTGGTCTAGTATCTAGTACGGAGTATATTACATTTGCGCACAGACTTCAGCCATTAGAGATTGGAAAATGCGACAATCTAACCTATCAACAACCCGATAGTAAAATACTCCAATTTCCAAATCCACTCCACATCTGCCTCGCTCTCCCACTCTTCAAATTAACGAAACATCCTCACCTATGATATCGTCCGACTCGACCATCCTCGCCGCCGCCAAATTGTTGTGCTCGATAAGTGCATAGAATAATTACGCTGATCAGAACCAAGAGAAGAGTGAGAAACATCCCCACAAATCAATCCATCCCGCTCTCCTCTTCGCACACCTGCTGAGTGCTGAATATTCAATACTCAATCAATACTCCATACTCAATAATTCCAATATTTATTAGTCCAATCAAAATTTGTTCTTGTGCTGGTATTGGTGCTGGTGCTGGTGCTGGTGCTCATTGCTCATCGCTCGTCGCTTGGTTCTCTTTCCCCCTCTCCACTCCTCGCTTTCTGAATCGTATTTTCTCTAAACGGACTTTTTCGCACATATTTCTCCCCTTCTCTCTCTCTCCTCTTCTTCCTCTTCTTCCCGAGGCTCAGTCCTTCTTAAATATTCATGTTCTGTTAATTTAATTTCTACAGTACATAAATTGTTCAGCACACACGCTACGACGTGATATTGCATCTGGCGTCGCATACTAGGAAGAACCCTTAAAAAAAGCCAGGGAGTAGACGCTTGTGAGTGGGTATTTGATCTCATGTACCCTGGTCTTACAGTAGTGGAGTATTCCTGTACAACGAAAGGAATTCGACGAACGAACGGCCGAACTCGCTTTGCATATCCATAACGCCTGCATACATACAATCCATACAGAAGGAAGGCCCTCGAGCCTGCTAAACTATTGGTCCCTCAGAACCTTGGTATAATACTTCGCAAGCGGCAGAACTTCTCTGTTTAGATATTGTCGTCGCAGAACTTAGGGAGTGTCCCACCCTTCTCTTCTTCATTCGATCCTTTTCTCTTCCCAAGAAGTGTCGTGAAAGTCTCAGAGCTGTGTTGCTCTAGGTCTTCCGCACCACGATAAGAGCGTTGAAAGAGGTACGTTCAATAAATTTCCTATCCGTTTTCGATCTTCGTTCCGAGAAACATGTCTTCTATCATATGCAGGAGACTTTTTGTCGCGAACCTAAGAGGCAGTGATCGTAGAATTTGATCTTCTGCGCCTGGAAGACACGGGCGAAGAGCTCGATGGCTTTTTAGGAGATGGCACCAGATGGGATCTTCTTTCCGAACCATTCACACCTGGGATACTATCTTGTTGTCACACCAAATGAATTGAAACCCTTCTAACGACGTTGTGTAATCTGCAGACTGCCCAAGCAATTTCTTTCTCAACACCTCGAGTCGTACTATTGCCATACCACGAACGTTTCCCTTCGAATACAAGGCCCGCTGATAGCCTGGTTTGAAGCGACTCTTCTCCCGTCGAAGGGCTCTCGATCGTAATAAACATTGGTGAATGAAACACATGCATCCTTAATGATGGATACTGAGGATGGACAGTTCTTCATAAAGGTATTTGGAAACCCCTAACTTTACGCCTTATCACGGCAGTTACTGATAAAACTTTTTCTTGCAGAACTTGGCCCACTTTGTTCGTACACATGAAAAGGCTCTCGCGAATGCTTTACAACTACGACGTCAACAAGCTCCTAAACATGGTTCCTCGAACAGCATATCTGGTGTTGTTGGAGGGTCTACCATCCCTTCCCCAACAGTGACAAACCAGCCGTCATCTGCCTCTTCTTCTACGACTTCTAGTACTCTAGCAGCAGCTCTCTCTCTCCCATACCTTACCTTCGCCTCTCATAACATCAAACCTGCTAAGCTCGCATTAACACCCCACCATCTATTCTATCTCCTTTCCCGAATTGAAGAGCTAGGTGTTCCAGTTGGCCCAATGAATGTGCGGTTAGAAAATCTTCATGCAGATACATCAGCAGCGAATTACGTTTCTTTTCTGAGTCAATCCCAACGTTCAAAAGGTCGTGGTTCTGACAATGGATCTATTCACTCCGTGTCTAGTGTGAGAAGTGTGATGTCTGGCATGTCTTCTTTGTGGTCTAATTTTGGCCTTGGATCTGGAAACTCTGCCGCTCGAACAGAGAAACAAAAAGCTGCCACTGAAGCCGACTTGAAGTACCTGTATTCAGCATTTACTAAAATTCCTTGCCTTAGACTTGCTCCAGATCGTCGCGCGCGTTTGATTGAAGGCTATGAAGAATTTCCGTTCGATTCCGCCGTTCCACTGATTGCCTTTAAAAATATTAGTGCTTTGGAGATAAGTGATATCGATATTCGACAGTTTTTCGGTTGGGACAAGCTAGCCGAGCAATTAAGATCATTGACAGTCAAAAGGGCAGGTGTTGATGATCTAGCTGATCTATTGATCAATATCGTGCTGGATGATATGGACAAAAGGAGGCGGCGGTCTTCCAAGGCACAGATGTCACCAACTTCAACCTTCATTCCCGCATCGAGTCCAAGACGTAGCCCAACAATGCCTCATGCCGAGCTGATTAAATCCTGTTCGGCACCTGGGTCACCGGATGGCCGCAGCCATATTATTGACACTGAAACAAGAGGATTGGCGCGTTCTGGGTCCGACGGGGCCGAGTTTGGCAAATCTCCTACCAAGCATGGACAAAGACCAAGAAGCAATTCTCCCGTTCGTCCACCAAGTTCTCGTACTGGCTCTTCACATGGCCATCTTCGTGGCTCATCATACAAGGTGAAGAGATCCGGATCCGGGAGTTCACATTCAAGCATGTCTGATAGCTGGCACAACCCGCGGAATAGCACTTCGAATCTGTTATCTATGGGTTTCCTGCCATCTTCAAAGTGGAGATTCTTGAAACATCTCAGCGTTGCAGACAACGGCCTGACGGCTATTACTGCTTCCAGCCTTGCACCTTTGGCTAACACCCTCCACTCACTTGACCTTTCTTCGAATCTTTTCGCCCAAATCCCCGATTGCTTAGCGTCCCTTACCGCACTACGAGCATTGAATCTGTCTAACAACATGATTGAGTCTCTTCATTCTCTTACTAGAAACCCTCTACCTGCTATATCTGCTCTTAACCTACGGTCAAATCGTCTCACATCACTAGCTGGGATTGAAAGACTCTACCCTCTAGAAAGGCTCGATCTCCGTGACAACAAGATTACTGATCCAACAGAACTTGCTAGATTGACAGGTATTCCAGATATTCGAGAAATATGGATTAGTGGCAATCCATTTACCAAAACACACAGTAACTACAGGACCACGATCTTCAACCTATTCAGGCAAACTCCAGGATATACCGAGGATATTTTGATTGATGCTTATGGACCAGGTTACACGGAAAGGCGGCACCTAGTCGAACGTGCTGCAGAACGGCCAGGTGTGCCTGTTGTCAAACCACCTCCTCCCGATTATGGCCTGTCCGCTATTGAGGTCAACAAACCAATTATCGAATATGCTGCACCGAGAGAACCTGCAGTACTTCGAAAAGAACGACCAACACCCGTTGCTGCGACTAGTGAAATCAACACTGGCACTACAGGTCGAAGAAGAAGAACTCCAAAACGACGAATCGTAGATTTATCGACTTCAGAAACGTCACCAAGCAAGCAGGGATTGACCCGCGTTGTAATGCCAGAGGAACCACCACCATCTATGCCGCGAACAGTGTCAGATAGTAGCTATGGCATAAGTCCAGTTTTTTCTCCTACGATTCTTCCTTCCTATGTACCTTCAGAACCCCGCCAGGCCCAGAGACAGCCGGATGTCTCACGTATCAACACCTCAGTTTTGCCTCGTCTACCTCCAATGCCGTCGGTAGAAGCGGTAAATTACGAAACGGCAATCAAGCCACAGCCAGTAAAGACTCCAGATACCCCTGACTGGAACATGAGCGGTGAGCTATATCGGAAGAAGATAGAAGCTCTAAGAAATGATGTTGGGCAAGGATGGTTGAGTGTGTTAAGCGAAGAAGGTTGGGAGGCTCAAAAGAAAAGTCAGCCGCCTGGATATCAGACTTCCGAATATGAATCAGCAAATACTATGAGACCGGGCCCTACAATTAGGGCAGTCAGTCAACAGACGATACACAGCGGTCGCACTCTGGGTTGAAGTGCAGAAACCAAAAGCGAATTTTTTTCATGCAGATACAAAATCAGAATGGCTCGACATTTAAGAGTACATTGGTCGAGTGGCTGGAAGGGAATGTGGTCCCTGCGGATGAAGGATCATTGCCAACATTGACTGTGGTTAAGTTAGAAGGAAGTGAGAGAAGAGGAACTTGTTTATTTTGATACCCCAAACCCATTCTTCATCGTTTTTAAGAAAATTGCATGAAGGACGACTCTACTCTCGATATAAAAGGACACATTGCATGAAAGAGGCACTTATTTTCTACTTTTATTTATTTATTTTTCTGGCTCGAATTCTTTATCATCAATGAGAGCATGCATAGCGTTTAGGTTGGAGGTTCATTTGCTGTTTTTATATTTTTCCTTAACGAATCAATGATGGATTGGAACAGAAAAAATTTCGGCTTCTTCGAGAATGAATGAATGGATTATGTTACTAGATCTTGAGAGAGAGAATGGAAGAGAGAAATCTTCAGTCAGAGAGAAGCAATGACATGTTTGTAACATATCGGTTTTTTCGTGCGTGGAGTTTTATGGTTAGGGAATACTTTTTCATTTCACCTACTCACGGTTTGATATTTGAGATGGATGGATGGGTCGGGGCGTTTGAAGTCACGAGTAATTACTGGTCTGCCTGACCTGACATGATTGAACTGGGATCTGGATGGTGGGAGCATTTACACGAATAGTGGATGTGCTTAAGACGGAGGGGCGGAGGTGGAAGGCTTATGTCAATGGGTTATGTTCAAAAAGGAGCAAGTGAAAGTGGTCGATTCAAGTTTTGGGTTGGGGGGAGCAGAAGGGGGGAGGGATAGGGAAGAGAATGAGCCTAGGAGAGGTGTGAATAGAGGCGGATTAATGAGATGAAAATTGTTCTTTTGTGATGATGATTTCTCTGAGTAACTTTTTGCATTGTTATGTGTTGTGAGTACAGAGCAGAGAGAGTGAACAACTACCGAGAACGGAAAACTTGGATGATAGTCAGCATCAGATGTGTAGGTAATACCAGTAAGTGCTGGATGAACGAGCATTCAGCATAAGAAACGGTGAGAGGAGTTATCTATGACATCATTACACATATGCACGAAAAAAACTTTATCCTCCTGCTTTCTGGGGACTTTCTCTGGTACTGAAGAGGTTGGAAGACTGGTCGAAAGAGAGGGGTTGGAGGGGTAAAAAGATATCGGGAAACCAAGGAAAGGAAAGGAATACCCTTGAAGTTGCTGCCCAAGTCTAAATTTATTTCTGCACATCATCTGATCCTTTTCCCGTATTGCCGTTTTGGGATTGGGGTCTCTCGTCTAGCGTGTCTCATTATCATGTTCGCCAATGTCGGTATTGGATGGATGGATGGATGGATGGATTCTAAGAATATCTACTTGGGTACTAGGTTAGTTTCTCTTATCGGATGACTGGAAGAGGGTTTTGAAGGCACACTGGGAATGGCGTATGTGATGTTTTGATGTGAAGCCTCATCGGATGATTCGCATTCGCATCGGATGATCGGGTGATGAGTGGAGGTGATGGTGGAGGTGCAGATGGATGGATGGATGGATGCGTTTGGGTGGGTGGGTGGGTGGATCCACTCGGATGGATCGATCCACATTGCTTGTCTGTAGTCACTGGTGTGGTGATGGGCGGCTAAGTGGGAGGAGAGGAGTGGGTGGGTGGGAGTTTCAGCCCTACTTTCTGGCGGTGAGGGGTAGGGCGGCGAGGAACTTGGGGGTTGGTTGGTATTTGGGTTTAAGGTTTAAGGTTTAAGGCTTGGGGTTTGGGGTTTTGGCTTCGGCGTTTAGAGCGTGGATACTTTGATCGGGGGTTTTTTGGTTCCTAGCGTCACTTACTAATGTTGATATACATATATATATACCGTATTTGGGTTGATGTTTTTGGGCGGTGTCGCTGGTCTGGCTAGCGAACTAGCGAGCTAGCTTTGCTTACTTGTTTGTCGTGATGAAATTGGGGGATTGTACAGTGCTTGGAACTTAGCTCTAGCGATGTGATGTGTGTTTTGAGATTTGCTAGTTGCTTTATCTTGTTTTACTTTGCTGGTTGCCTTACTTGACTTTGACTTGGCTTGCCTTGCTTTGGCTTGAAATCTACCATCTAGTATTTAGTGTCTAGTGTCACATACTTCACTTATTCACGCATCGACTACATCAGCTGGTATGAATACATACGGATATACGGCCCTTGGATTTCAAGTTCTCTTTGTTCTTTGTTCTTAGTTCTTATTCTCATATTTGCTCGTGTTGTCTAGTGACAGAGCTAATTGTGTGATAGAAGATCGGATATGGGTTTGCAGTAGTTTTTCATGATTTGTCGATTCTTACCTTACCGCTTCTTTGAGTTGGCTACTTTGTGTTGGGATTTATGCGGGGGAAGAGGGTTATGTAATATCTAGATGTAGAGTCGCGATTGGAGAAGGTTTTTTGGTAATGGTGTGTGTGTGTTTATGGGAGACGTCGGCGCTATATTGTGGGGTGGTAGTGGGAATTGTTCCTAGTGATAAGTTTTGTCTTTTTTGCGTCGACTGGATGCGGGGTTATTGTTGCGTTGTGCTGTTGTGCTGTTGTTATTGCTCTTGTTGTTGTTATTGTATAGAAACTTCTTAGTTATGCTGGACTCAAATTGCGGAATTGATCACAATATAGACACATTCCTAGAACGAATCCTGCGAACAAAGTATATTCTTGTCGCACGTTTGAAAATATAAATAAACCACAGATCGTTGAATAGTCTCATACGAAATGCTATGGGTTTCGCTAAAACATCTCAAGTTCTTTCTTGTACTATATATATTTTGCGTATGTATAGTACAGTTAGACACGGTTGATATAGTGTCGGACTCTTGTTGAACTTACGTTTGTCTTTGTAGTATATACGAAAAGCATACGGATGGTGGTACATTATTTACAACTTTGGATTTTAGAGTGGTAAATATAAAAGGGTTTGCTGCAGATAGGAGTACATGCGAGTTGTTTTCTTGAGCGTATGGGGTGGTCATTCGTTGGAATGATTAATGTTCTTTGGTTGTATATATACGAGTTCGTATGAACTGTACCTTTAAGTATTGAGATTAGCTTCTGGTTGACGAGATGGATATAGGCATTTGCAGCTCCTTGAATGGTTTAACTGCTTGCTAGTATAAAATAGTACCTCACTCTCACCCCCACCCTCGCTTCCGTCCCTATCGATGTCTATGTAGCTACAGCATGACGTAATGAGGTTCTGTACTGTATTCGTATTGTTTTCTTCGTCTCGCTCCTCTACTTTTCTCGACCTCAGATCTCTCACTCTCAGCTTACTTATTTGTATTCTTGATTTCCTCAAATACATAGTACAGCATAATATAAAAAATTTAAGGTTTCTATATTCATTTTGTTTATTATTCATTGGATTGAGATTTAATATGTCTAAATTTAAATTTGGCTATTAGAGAGTGTGTGATCCGGAGGGGAATGGTAGATCTGTCTGAACTGTTAGTTCCGGTAATTATGTGAGAAGTTGGGGGTTAGAAGTAGAAAAAGTCTTGGTAAGGGATTCAGATGTGTGTTAGTGAAGACAGTGAAATAGACGAAGCAGAATAAGATAGCTGTGAGCAGTGGTAATACTTGGGTTTTAAAGAAGCTGTGGCTGTGGTCGTTTTATATCTGCAGGAGGGAAGAGATCATTAGCTTAACAATCCATCTATATGATATGATAGATCGCCTCTTGATGAAACTCACTCTACTGAATCGGACTATGGTCTTGAGCTTCTGGTGTACATGAATATTATACAGGCGGAGAGATGACTGCATGGACGAGACTGTTACATTAGCTCACTTACCGTGCAGTGAGTTACTTAATGTGATATGTCGATATCTTCGAACGAAGACAATAGCTCAAGAGAAGAGTAGATAGATAAATCCTTCGCTACAAATGACCAGAATCTCGTTGCTTTCAGAGCCACAAGCGGTGATATAGTTACCTTGCTGTCACATGATACTGGTCAAAGTAAATGCTCACACTTTAACCACTACCATAGGCATCAGCTCTTCACAAAATCGACAACTTTTCTTAAATCTCTATTAACTCCTTCAGCTGGATTAGAAAAGAGGCTATTAAAGAGACTGCAAGTCCAGATAGCTTTACCCACCATACTATTACATTAGTAATCCTGCAATACCTCAAATCGAGTCATCAACGATCAACCACACATCAAAATCCTCAAACTCCTTGAAGAAAAATGTCCAACCCCCCAGCCCTCCTCACCCTCCCAGTAGAAATCCGACAGAACTCCTCTACTACACCCTCTATCCAGAAACTTCTCCAATCTTCCATCTCAAACCAAATCATCGTATTCAAGCTCCTTGACCCCAAGTATCCCAACGGACGTCGATTTCCCCGGAAAAGCATGAGCACTTCTACGGCACCTAAATCATGAGTTACTTGTTTATCGTTTGTCTTCTTAAGCTTGCTAAACTTGAAGAAATCTCTTTTACACGCTTTGTTTTTCGTATGTGTTTGATTTTTGTATAAGAATTTATAAGTGTGACTAATCCTCGCGCGTGTATGTTGATACGAGAGATTGGAGTAGTTATTATTTTTGATCTCAGTCGTGATGAGAGTCGGACGCAAGATGTTATGAATTATTTGAAGGAAAAGCTTCCGGGGTTGAGAAAGGTGGATGTGATGGTTGTGTTTGTAAAGGCTCCGTTTGATGATGGGATGGCGAAGGGAAGAATTGACGGATTTGCGGATAGGATTGTAGAGTTTGTTGTGGGTTTTGTAGAGGGTATAGAGGTTGTGGTTGCTGAGAGAGATTTCTGTTGTGTAAAAAGGAGATTATGGATGTATTGTGTGATAAAGTGGAAGTGCTGATGGTAAGGTCGAAAAGGGGGATGGAATTATAATATGAGAGTTCTGAAATTTCAAGGTACTTGGATGACTGAATGATATTGGTTTATGCTAGATGTATCTCACAGATCAGTTCTCGCGATATCAACACAATCATGATTGAACTTATAAAGTTGTAAGTGATGGCAGGTTGAGATCCGTAAGTTCTAAGTTCACGATCAATAGTGATTTTGGTAATAGGTTCCCAAAATATCTCTACATGGTGACCTATTTATGTTAGAGTCTCAAACCTGTCATAGTAGTCCTTTTAAGTAATATTTTGTACGATGATAGGACTAACAAATGCGAATGACTATAGTCACGTTAATGACATAATATCTCCCGTCCGATATATTGAAATCTTTGATCTCATTTGATGCATCTAAACTTATATGATTTATGTCATCTGATTTCAATTTATCTAAACACAACAGAGTCTTGATATAACCTACGGCGCAGTAATATCGAGATGATTTAACATAATGTAATAGTGTAAGTCAGCATGATCGTCGTTTAAAACCCCTATTCTACATCTATTATAACGCGTCATACGAACATTTTTAATTAGAACGATATTAGATAATAATTATCATATCTCTTGATATTATCTAATCTATACTCTCATCTTATAAAAAATGATGTATACCATCTTATCTTTTATATATTTTATCTTTAAATTGTAATTTTAATTTTAATTTTAATTCTAATTCTAATTCTAATTCTAATTCTAATTTGAAAAGGAGTTTTAAAATAGATAGAATTTTGAAATGATAATTAAAATCACTGAATTCTATATAATTATTTTAATTCTATTACGAGATGAATTTTGAATAGATTTCTATTAATATCTAAATAAAGAATAAAAGGAAGATTTAACAAGAAATCTTCTAAATAGAAAATACTAAAAATAATCCCAAAAAGAATTTTATATAGAATTTTATATAGAATCTATAAAGAAAATCTATAGAAAATTTCTGTAAAGAAATTAAAATAGATAAAAAGAATTAATAAAATAATTAGATAAGAGAATGATCAAATTTATATTAAGAAAGATTAGATAATAACACAACATTTTATTAGACGAAAATAAGATTAGATAATATATATTAGATTAATTTTAAAATTAGATAATAGTATATCAGATGAAAGAAATGATTCTGAGCAAAAATGTCCGCATGACGCGTCATAGTCCATTCTACAAATCTAAATAGTATATCTATCCTGCTCAATTCTGATCACGCTAGAAACGATATGATAAATATAGTATAGAGCCCCGGAAAGGAAATGGAAAAAACTTGGCCTTAGAAGAAATAGATTTAACTCTAGATTTATAGTACATCTAATCACCAAATTCCTTTTTCTCCCTTCAGCACAACCACCAGCATCCCCTCTCTCTTCTTCCTACCACATCCACTTCATCCAATATCAACATCTTACCATTCAGAAGTATTCTCACCATCCTCTCCTTCCTACAATTTCCCCTCCTACAAAGAAATATCGATCATCCATTAACTTTCAAATCGTATAAACAATCCGCATATCAACCATCTCGAAATCCGCACATTAATCACATCTAGATTTTCAAACTTCCCATTCTTCATTTTAACTTGACCGCTTCTATCTCTGAGGGAAGGCTGGATATAGACAGTCCTATATCCCGTACAAGTTTTGCTGATAACAATAATCACGCTGATGCAGCGATGCAATATAATGAAAGGTAATAAAATGAAGCGAAACGATCCACGCAACAGATTTCTTTCCACACCAAAAACAGGCAATCGGCACGGTATACTATATCACGAAATACAAACATACAAAACTCATCACCATACCCCATTTCCCAATAAAAGCAGCGCAAAATAAACTCCTCGCCCACAAATTCACTCATATCAAACCTCTCCCATCTCAATTACAACTTCATTTCCTCCCCAGCCATAGCCCCTTCACTTCCTCTCCAGAAAAAGCTTGCCTAGTATTTCCATAAACTCTCAATTCATCTGCACTTACCGATCCCCAAGTTTCACAAACTCCTCGTCATGCAGATCATCAAATCCTGCAGAACCTCTATCGAATTCCAATCAAAGACACCTTACCTTACTAACCAGCAACAGAGAATGATCTACACACAAACAAATTCCTATTACTTCCCTCCTCACGATCTATCTCAAAGAGCCCGGGAATTCAACAATCAGCACTAGAAGCAAACGTAAAGGAAACTTCAATCCATCTCAATCATCAACAAATACAAACAAACCACACTGTACAGTTCGCTTATCAGCAGCACCACCAGCACCAGTAGGAATTTTCTATCCTTCCTCAACATCCCCCCCTTTCTCTAATAAATTGCGATTACTTCAACTTCTTACTCAATATTCGAATCCTGAGAAGCCCGCCTCCATGTCCTAAACACAGTAGCGTATCGTACTGTACCTTGAAAAGCCAAGTGGTCGCGATCTACTGAATGACTGATCCATCCTGAAGCTTTCAACGATCAATCGTGAGATACCGTCCCAGTTTCGTTTGTCTCTCGCAAGTCATTCCATCAGTCAACCAGTCAGTCACATATCCACTCACCCACTCATTCACTCATTCGCTTAACTGATTAGAGTGAAATTAATCACTAGTATTGATATCGATAACAATCTCGACATGAATAATAGGTCAAGAATTCTCGAGGTAAGCGGAAAAAATGCATTGCAGGGGGGGTGTGACATGATGATAGGAGAGGAATAGAAGCGAGCGAGGGAGGGGAGAAGCGAATGAAAGAGAGGGCGGAAATGGTATCAGAATATCAGAATATCAAAATCTAATAATCATACATCTATAATTCACATCTCAAATAATCTCACCTAAAACTGACTAGCAATCAAGCATTATTAACCCTTGAAAGAAGATATATATACAATGTGATAGAATAAACAAACGATCAATCGCCATTATTGATTATCTTACATCACACCAAACAAATCAAAAATTCAAGAAAGTATTTAAAGCATAACAATCATTCACTTTTCCTCATTGTCTAAACTAATTACAAATAACAACCTCAACTCTAAGCCTTGCGAAGATGTGGAGGAACCCATTTACCGCCAGCAGCAGGTTTAGGCGCAAGCGCGGGTGTAGGAGCTGGAGCATCACTACTCTTTTCCTCGCTTCTGCTTGGTGGACTTGGACCACTAGCTGCTCCCTTGGCTGCTTCTCTTTCTCTCCAGGTGGACTTACCACCGGCAAGAGCAAGAGGTGCACGTCTCTCTCCGGTAGCTGACCCAGTACGTTCTGGAGTTGGTGCTGGGCGAGGAGCTCTTTCGGTAGATGGTGCTGGGCGAGGGGCAGCAGGTGCGGAATCGGAAGGAACCTCCTTGCCTTCAGCACGGAGTCTCTCCTTTTCTCTCCAGCCCAACTTAGCACCGGTAAGAGCAAGAGGAGCACGTCTTTCACCAGTTGAATCTGATCTTTCAATAGGAGCGCCACGAACAGGCCCTCTTGCCTTTTCTTCAGCTCTTCTCTTTGCAGCTTCCTCAGCTCTTCGCTCTTGTAACGCAGCCATCTCCAAGGCCTCTTGTCTCTCCTTCTCACGGATTGCTTTGAGCTCAGCAAACTCAGCCTTTCTCTTTTCTTCTCTCTCGTCCTTCTCAGCCTTCTCCCTTTGAGCACGTTCTTCTTCTTCCCGAAGCTTTCTCTCTTGCTCTTCACGCTCTCTCTTTTCACGAATCTTGCGTTCCTTGAACTCCTTTCTACGTTGAGAGATTTGTTTCTCAAGTTCCTTCTCAGCATCACGACGACGTTTGTCAAACTCTTCGTGTCTGCGCTCGGCAATATCATCACGGAAAGTTTCGTAATGAGAAACCAATCTTGCCAATCTGTGCTTCAGAGCAACATTCTCCTTGTGCTTGGCTTCAGCATCCTTCAAGGTTTGGGCCTTAGTCTTCTCATAAGCGGCCAAATCACGTTGTCTTTGTGCTTCATAGTCTTCTGGCAACTTCTTGGCTTCCTCCTTTCTGAAAGCTCTCTCGAGATGATCAATACGTTTACCGGTAATTCTCAACTTTTCGTTTGTATCATTCTTCTCACGCTCGAGTTGAGCCAACTTCATGGCACGAAGTTTATTGCCGTCAAGGTTGTCCAAATCATCAAGATCAATGTCAAGAGCCTTGTTGCCAATCTTGAGGTCATCGATTTGCTTTTGAAGTTCTGCTTTTCTGACACGCTCCAACTCGGCCTTGATACGATCATCCTCACGCTTCTTTTGTTCGGCTTGAAGACGCTTGTCCTCGGCTTCTTGGAGTTGTGCAGCCTTGATACGTTTCCTTGTGGCTTCTTCCTTCTCTTTGCGAGATTGAATTTCGGAAGCTTCCTCCTTTCTCTTTTGGATGGTTTCTTTTCGTTTCAAGGTCTCCTTGTGCTCTTCATCTGCACCAGCCTTAGCTCGTGCGTATGCTTCATCACGAGCCTTGATTCTAGCTTCATTGAAAGTGGGATCAACATATTGAGCAGTAATATACAAAGCCTTAGAAAGACGAGTAAGTTGAGTTCGCACAATTTCAGAAGGAGTGTTTTGGAGTCTTTGTACAGAGGCAGTCTCGGACTCAGCAGATCCTGCACCGGATCCTGCGTGGATTGCCTTGGTAGATGAGAAAACATCAGTATCGAAGCTAAGAACACCAGTAGCGTGATCCATTCTGATGGCAAGATCACCCTTCTTGTTACCGTTCATGATGAACTTCTCAATTGTTTCTCTGGTAACTTGGAATGGCTCTGGGAATCTGGCGAGGTTCTCGACAAAGTTAAGATCAACAGTCTCGTAGACTTGAGAGAGTTGTTGGAAGAGTCTAGTCAAGATGACTTGTTGAAGAGGAAGAACATATTTCTCCATCTCGGCATCAGCACCAATTTGAGACAGAATTGGGGAGATCTTCTGGCAAATTGAAAGAGGATGGAAGTCAACTTCGAGAATGTTGTAAAGTTCACGAATCTCAGGGCGGGCACGCTTGAGAAGACCCTTGCTCATGGCATCCTTGAACAGAACGGCACGAGTAGGAGCTTGAGCCATACCAAGAAGATGAGTAAGACGAGAGTTCTTGTTCTTCTTTTGCTCATCAATGTCAACCAAAGCACCACGAGATCTGGATGTGCTGATCACAGGGATGGCGAGGGCAGACAAGAGAACGAAGGAAGCAGCCTTGGAGAGGTCAGCCTCAGAGGTTGCTGGGTTATCCGACTTCTTGCTTTGGCCAGCTGCAACCATTTGAGCGGATTGACGGAGAAGGTTATAGTATCTTGACCATGCAGCAGCGTGGAAGAGATAGTTCTCACCAACCAAGAAGATTCTGGTCAGCTTCTCATAGTAGTTGGCCATCATAACATTCTTAGGTGGTCTCTTGCTAAGGCTGAGCAAGGTGTGAATATCCTCAACACTTCTAAAAGCCTCTTGCCACAACTCAAGCTCGACTGCCACATTCAATTGTTGAAAACGGGTCTCGAGATGGCGTTGAAGGGTGTCTGGGTCGTTGAGGTTGATGGCATGCATTTGAGCAGAGTACTTTGCAGCAGTTTGAACATGGTTTCTGAGCAATTCGCACAATCGACGGAACTCGGTCTTTCTGGTGTATTTTTGGCAGAACTCGAATGCTTGCATAGCAGTGCTTTGGTACATAATTTCCAATCTGGCATTGTTTCGGAGGATATCGAGAACAGTTCTGTATGTCTCCCACAAAAATTTCAACCATGGTGTAACAATGGCGCGATCTGTACGATCTCTGGATTGTTCGCCGGATACTGTTGACAAAAGGATAGACTCTGGGGTTTCGGTAGCTTCCAAATCATCGACACTTGCGGTTGCTGCTGTTGTATCTAATGTTGATTGAACCTCATCGGCCTTTGCTTGCGCAGTCTTGACTTTCTCTTCCGCCAACTCGATGAACTTCTTGAGAACAAGCTAAATCAAATACATTAGCACCGCACACGTAATCAACACTACTACCGCTTACCTCGATTGTGCCAATGTTGGTGTTTTGACTGATATTCTTGTATTGGTATAAAGCGTCCTTTGCGAGTTTTCCTTTCTTTTGTTCAACGGATTGTTCCACCAACAAGAGCATCACAGGCTCTAGTGAAGTGATCGGGGCATTTCTCGATCTTTTCGAAGTAACATGTTCGTGAAGTAAGACCAAAGCTGCTTGAGCTTGTCCGACACCCATCAACTCATGGGCGCGCTTGAGGACATTCTCGGGTTTTTGATGAGGTGGAGGAGGCATGCTGGGCAGCACTCTAGTAGTGTCCGTAGGGTGTTGCGATAATCTGGCTGAATATTTTCAAAGATAATATATTTATCTTTGGAAACAGAAAAAACGAAGCGGTTCCTGCCAGATAGTATTGTCCAAGGCTGGGTAGGTACTCCGACTTGATGGATATCGAAGTGGGTTGAGGTTTCGTCAACAAATTCACGATAGCGATAATTTCATACAAGAGTTCATTCGTGTGCGGAAAGCTAAACTAAAAATGGTTAAAGCATTGCTTTTTTAAGGCAACAACCGACTTTGAAAGGAATATATGGCGGTGAGAGGTGGCAAAATAGACAGGAGGGGTGAGTTGAGTATCAAAACAAACTGAACATGAATGAATACACCAAAACACAAAGGTCAATACGGCTATTCGAGTATCGATTTGCACCTATACATGAGAAGCAGTTGACTATTAAATTTTCAATAACCCTAAAAAAAATCGAAAAGTATCATTCACTTTAGCTATAGATAGACTGAATCGATTAAGAATTTACTACTACTACTACTACTACTACTATCATTCACTTGATCGATATTCGACTTCGCCTCATTCTCGAGGATCAAGACACGCTCCAAGATAAACCACATAAATCACACACATCCAGCTATTTCAACACAGTTCCTAATATTCCAAATTATCAAATGGTCTTTTTGGGTTGTCCAGAATATGTCTCCCATGTATGCAGGATCCTGGAATACGTCGTCCTATATTCCATGTTAATTTCGTTAAACAAATGCCTTGAGTGATGATAAATGTAAGATGTCCTAGATATGTGTTCATTTTCGGATTCCTTGTTGTGTTTCATTCGAGTAGACGAAATCCGTGAAGGTCCGTTAAGTTAGCATAGAATTCTATAGTTCAATCAAATTTAGGGTCTGATAGATCATTGGGGATAGATGACATGATTATCATTTCCTAGGCTCTGGCATACGGTCCTGTCAAGTCCCATATCAAAGGATGTAAGCCCAGATAGATCTTTCCTCTAGCCATTCCAATCCAACAAACAGAGTACCATGCGGCGTGCGGCGTGAACCACCCCTTTCACACCTCACAACCCTTCCTCCCAAAACCTAAACTCAAAATCCGCCACACTCCTCGTCCCCAGGTCTACATACCCCAAATCCGCCCTCTCCTTCCAGACCCGTGATTACAATTTTACCTCTCTCATTCAACGTTACTTTCTCTTCTTCTTGCTTCTTCTCCTTTGCCTCTTCGAGCTTCGCTTCAACCAGCTGGGAAGTAGAGACGGGGCTGGAAGGTGAAGGTTGAGATGTGGTATTGGCTGGGGTTGAGGTAGATGGTTTGACATCTGATGGTGCAGATTGGAGTTGGCTGTTAGATGCTGGCTTAGAGGCAGAATGAGGGGTCGTTGATGTTGTTGCTGGGACTGTTAGCTTTACTGAAGATGAGCGAAAAGAGGGCGAGGACGAGGAAATGAGAGAGAAATGATGGCTTAGAAAACCGAGGTAGAAAACTTACATTTCTTTCCATCAACATGACCCAAATCCCTTGATGGATCAATGATATTCCTAAGTCTCTTTTTCAATTCTTTCGTTTCTGAAATCACGTTGCGATTAGTAGCCTCTCTTTGTCAAGTCATGAATTCCCAGATTTGACCAGAATCCCATTCAAGAATCCCAATGATTCTCCGTATACAAAACCCACCCTCTATTTATTATCTTCCGAGAAGTAAGAAGAAAAACATAAGAAATGAGCACAAACCAGGAAATCCCCCCTCACTCTTCCGATCCCAAAGCGTATGTTTCAATACCTTGAACCCTCTTACTTCATTCACGTTCTTTTCAGCTTCTCCTTCTACAGAACTAGTAGCATTCTTATTCGCGTTCGCATCTGTAAATAGCTCAACAATAAATGTACCACCGGTACTAGGTTGAAGGGCGACTTCTCCGATATCTGTTCCGAAGGTTGAGAGGAGTTCTTGTGCAAACTATTTGAGGGTTGTTAGATTAGAGGTGTGATTGTAAAGGTTTGGGCGCAATAAGAAAGGAGAGGAGAGATATAAATGAAGAGGCAAATGATAGGTTGAAAAAAGAAAAGGGTAAGAGTATGAAGAGCCTCCTCCAAGTCTCACCCATAGAAAATGAAATGCAAATTAGATGCAGGTGCTGGTGCTGGTGACTACCGAATCGAAAGGCTCTATGTATCCCAATGCCTAGGCTTGAAGCTGCAATTTCATTGTCCAAGATAATAGCAAATTCATTTCATATCAGACCAATTACATCAGGTAGACGAAAATGCCATGCCACTGACATGCTCGCCCTTTCTATTTCCATAGACAGATGAGAACTACACATATCTAAATCCACCAGTGTGTCAGGGCACTGTCAGGAGAAAAGCCCCAAGTAGACACCCGAAAGACAATCTAGTTGTCTTTCCTCCTTCGATGATATCATATCACTTCATGACATCTTCCACGGCCGAAATATAGTGAGGGGAAAAGATCACCGGAGGATTCAGCATCAATCAACAGGTTCCCATGAATCCAGTCAGAAAAGAAGAAATACTACCCATTTCCGCCATCCCACCCCGTTCTATTCCAACCGTATAGATATTTCATAAATCCATCAAGCAGCTCGCAAGACTTCTCTACTCTGTTCATCTCAACCATTCCAAACATCATCTAAACCCTCAAAACTCCAGATATCAATTCAACCCCCTTCTTGCAAATGGAAACAACCCCATCGTGTTAAAGAGACACCACCCGCCCCAACTATCCCTCCAAGAATGAGCATTTCCTTCCCGTCAACACCATTTTACACTCCTTTCTCTCTCAAACATCTACTCAGATGCATATGTACGCCCAACTGCACTTGCTCGACGCTCCACAACCACAATATCATCCACCCATCCATATATCCATACAATATGTACACTCAAGCATCCATACCCTATTCCCCCTCTCCAAAAGGTTAAAGAAAACAAACAACCCTCAGTAGAAAACACACAAACCCCAACTCCCAAGAAAACCCATCTCCCCCCCCCCCCCCAAAAAACGAACAAGCAATCAATCTAAGAAAAGACGAAAGGAAAAAATTCACATACATAAGCCGCCCTCAACATCCACTTACACTGCGTACAAAACTGAATCGACACACGAGGAAGTTTAATCCCACCCACTTGATTCATTCCCTTCTCATCTCCATTCCCATCTCTCTTTTCCTCTCCTCCAACATCCCCGGCGACAATCTTCATTTCATTCATCTTATCCATATTATCAATCTTGACCAAATCCAGATCCAAATCCTAACCCAAATTATTCAAATTCAGGTTCGATACACGAATCCGATTCGATTTCCCACTATCTAGTTACTCCTCTGTATAAAATCCAAATCAATCTTCGTAATCAACCTTCGTAATCCTAATCGCGATTCACAAATATAAATACACATAAATACACAAATACCAGCGCCTGTATTAAATATTCGCGTTTGTTATGCAAAATAAGTGGTGTGCCTAGGTAATTATCTACCCTACCCTACCTACCTACCTACTTTATTACTGTACGAGCCAACCCAGACAGGAATCATTTAAACTTTTTTTCTTCTTTGGCCCGCCTTCCCCGGTTAATTTGAATTACATTGGTTGATTGCTTGATTACCGGTACTCGATCGATGATTTGATTTGATTTTGTTTGATTTATCATTCGTTCATTCAAATTGTTAAATCTCATCCGTGAATTTTGAAGTTATTCTTCGCTGTAATTATTATATATACCTATCTATAGCTACCCAGTCACGCCAGTCTACAAAACCACTACCACTACCACTACCGGTACCTAGCCACTCTTCCTCATTCCATCACATCACATCCCAATCCAATCCAATCAATCCATTCTATTCCCATTTAGATTCCCACCTCGGCGAAGACGTCTGTGCTAGTCTACTAGACCTACTCAGTCTCGCTAGTCAGTCTAATACCTAGTGCATTACCTCTTCATAGCTATCCTATCCCATCCCATCCACCACCCACGTCCACGTCCACCCACCCCAAGAATAAAACCAAACTCCCAAAGTTTCTCTCTCCCTCATACATACCGGTAGCTCTCCCTCAAATCTTGAATTAGAATTTAGAATTCCTAGGACCAAGGTACTAGCCCACCATGTAAACACAATCACCCCCAAAAGTGGCTCAAGCTCCCTCCCATTTGACGCACATCCCTACGCAAGAGCCAGTCAGGGACTCTAGAGAAAAAGCAAAAAATGCGAGGAGAAACAGGAACAGAAACAAGATCAGAAACAAAATACGGAGTAGAAATGGATCATGCAGAACAGATGGAGTGGATGCATGTAGGTAGGTGCAGATAGATGCAGGTGGGTGCAGATTGTAGTGCGGATGAACTTGGGTAATTTGACTTTGGACTACTGTATGGAGTAGATATCTAGAATAACTACGAAGTATAGTACACACCTTAATCCTTAAGTTTGCGCAGAGAGTAGAGTGGGATGAGAATCGTGAGGTGGATTACATACGTACATACAAAGGTATGTGATATTTAGGATTTGCTGAGACAGGATTCCTTCTCATCTCTTCCTCTCTCTCTCTCTCTCTCTCTCTCTCTCTCTCTCTCTGTGAAAGAAAAAACAGACGAACAAATAGACAAATATCTTCAAAGCCTAGATACTATACCGGTACCACTCAGTAGTCATCTAGCTACCTATCTATTTAGCTTTCTTCAGCTACCTCCTCACCAAATGTCATATATATGTTTACCTACTCTGAAGATCTCAACCCCTAATTCACATGACATTATATACATGAAGATACATCATACATCCATCCCATCAATACATCCCACCAAACATCAAACAACCCTTCGCTTCATCAATCCATCCATCAAATCCATCAAATCCATCACATCCATCACATCCATCACATCCATCACATCCATCAATTGTCAAATACCTACCTACATACAAACCTAAAACCCATCAACTCTACTCCCGTAAACCATAAACCCTAAACCATCACACACTCATAAACCCTAATCGCAACCTCCACCCTCCACCCTCCACCCTCCAATCAATCTCCAACCCACCTCAAGCGCAACAAGAATCTAAATCAATAGTCTACTCTATACGATCAACACAATATCTCCATCTAACCCTACCCTACCCAAGCACCTCTACACCCAGCACCTCTGTGCAGCCAGCCAGCCAGCCAACTTCTTTTCTCCATCTATTCGTTCATCTATCTATTCACCCAAGTTCCTTTCCTTTCCTTTCCTTCCCTCTCCTCTCCTCTCCTTTCACCCATTTCCGCTAACGACCAGACCAGACCAGACCAGACCAAAAATCCCCAAACCAAATAAAATCCCCAAACCAAATAAAATCCCCAAACCAAATAAACTCCCCATCTCCCATCTCCCATCTCCCATATAATCAATCCCACTCAAATTCCAACAGAATAAAATACACTTATTACCTACCTAGGTATTTACCTACAAATATGCACCTGCACCTGCACCTGCACTCAAACACAACCCCCAAACAAAATAAATTGGTTGCGAAATTACGCCATCCACTTACCGATCCCACATCATTCCACACCAATTCCAAATATCAGTCTCTCCCCGAGCCCACCTCCCCTAGGTGGGTAGGTAGGTAGGTAGATTGCACAATTTTTGAGTGGAGGATGGTCTTGTATATTATAGATGTTGAATGCCGGAATTAACTCAAATTTATTGCGAGTGTTTCAATTGTGAAGTATTAGATCCTATATGTTAAATATTAAAACATCAGATAGTAGCAAATAGACAAATAGATATAGTTCACATCATATAATCTCACTTACTCACTCTCATGCAAAGTTCATCAGACGTTCAGGTAGATAAATACCAAATACAATATAATATCTCAAAAATGCATTAAAAACAAAAAGTCTCTTCATTCGTATAAAAAAAAAACAATACCATCCCAATGACTTTCCATTGAAATAATCCTATACACAAAGAAGTCCATATGAAGGTGCATACTATGTTTGTTGGTAGTCCTGGGGAAAAAAAGGGTGTAACTACTACGAACAGAAACGAAAAAAATTATTACATGCTTCTTTTCCCATTTCCCCATTTCACTTCTTCTTCATCTTCCTTCTTGATGACTTTATCCTGCCTTTCATTTTCATCAAGAAAAGTCTCAAACAATTGCACGCCTCAAGATACACGTCATAGATACAATCGAATCGAGAGTAACCAGCTTGCTATCGTGCCCTGTCGATGATGAAAATGTACCTCCAATTGGTGAAATATGCTAATGCTTCTTCCGGTATCCTCATAAGAAAAAAAGCAGGCCTATAATGGAAAGGTTCGAGAAGAAACTTTTGGAATTTCTGGAAATGATGTCGAAGAAGGCTGAAAAGTGAATGATTTCCCCAATACGCCCCGTTAATAACGCCCATTATTCTGGTCTGCTACCTTCCTCTCTCCCTCTGTATGGTGATGTACGTGATTTTTGTAAACGGAAGGATCGATATCGAAATTGGTGTATCTGAATGGATTGATGAATTGAGTGATTGATAAAATTATGATTGGTCATTGTCGGGTCGTTCGTATGCTTTCCATTTCGAATTATCTTGATGTATTCTTCCTTGTCTTACATCACCAAACAGCATCCACCACTTTGTTGCGGCGCATATGGATCATCCTTCTTATCAACGGCACCCCAAATTGATGGAACCATAAAATCTTTGGTTTGACTGGTATATTGAATAATACTAAATAGATGTCAGGTATAAGTAACTTCTCAGGTAGTCAAGAGGTGAAGAGGAGTAAATTTACCTCTTAGCAGCTTGAGAGACTGGGATCCTTTCGCGTTCTAAATCTTCTCGGAGCCGATTGTTCAATTCAGTAAGACGTCTTAATTTGAGATCTGCCATTGATTGTTTATTCTTCTTAATTTGCGATGGGTCACCAACATCTCGAGATGAATAACCTTGAGGCATGGTTAGAGGTGTAGGTGTAGATGGAGGTAGTCGAGTTGGTGTGGTTGTGTGGATGTGTGGTTGTGTGGATGTGTGGTTGTGTGGTTGTGTCGAGGTGAGCTGGATCGGGAAATTAGTTCAATTCGTGTTGCGACAGACAGGATAAGGAGAAGTTCGAAGCAAAGAGGTCGAAACATACCAAAGAAGCTTATGGTCGTTAATTACAATTAGAAATTGATTGTTATGGTATCAGAGACGGTATCAGAAACAAATTGAATTGAACTGATTGTCGTTTTGACGTGATTGTGATGTATTTGAAAGGAGTGGTATTGTTTGTGGTATGGACAGTGATGATGGTCTAAGGTCGAGAACGATGGGAGGGAAGTTTAATTTGGATTGCTGAAAAGAATCGGTACGGGTACGGTACGTCGGTTCGCTATTTCCCGTTTAAGCCTTGAAAGATGTAGGTAAGAAGAAGAAGTGGTCAGACAAACAGATAAGGGTGAAATGAAGATGAAGATGAAGAAGTGAATATAAAAGAATAAGAGTAATAATAATAATAATAGTAGTAGTAGTAGTAGTAATAAAAAATTGATATGTGTAGGTATCGACAGGAAGGTTAATTATTATTGTTTTTGTGCTCTTGGGAGAATTTTACCTTGGTGAGTTACAATTAGTTACGGTACCGGTACTCCTCTCTTATTAGTCAGTAGGGGAAAAAAAAGGGACAAGACATTCGATGTGGCTTTGGCGTTTTTGGGTTTCTCTTCACTCTCTCACGTGATGCAATATAATCCCTGGCAATGTGCAAGAAAAAAGCTATGAAGATCTTGGTACCAAGGTAGGTATCACGGAAAAGCTCACTCTCAGGTCCTCACTCTTTTAACATCTAGCTATTTCTCCATCCGATCGCAATGCGGAGGATACCTACCATACTTAAGCTCAAACTTCTCCGAACGTCACTGACTGAACGAATAATTCTCCCAAGTCTCACTCTCTCTCCCTCGTGACTTCTAGCTTATACTTCACAACTTGACATTCAACGGTTCTAGATACCTACGTCCTCTCACCATACATTAAACAGCCAAGTCTATTGATGATCTCTACATCTTTCCAAAGCTCATCGCTTTCAATTATTTCACAGCTACAACCTACCACCATACCAATAATTCCACAAGACATTTATAATACACTCAGTCAGTCTACTTCACTGTCTCGAGACTGTCTAATCCCAAAGAAAGGCCCACTATTTCTACAACCGACTACTGGCGGTGCTGTACGATATCTACTCCGTATATCCCAATACCAACACAGAGTTTTCAGTACACACTGATCAATTGCGTGTATCTAGTATCTCTGTTCCTTAGTTCTTTCCGAAATCAAGCAATGCTCTTGAATTGTATGTAACTAGGTGTTCTAAGTAAAAGATCCGAAGTCCCACATATGTCAAACTGTCTATTTTCGATATTCCACGATAATCCAATTTGATATCCTGATTTCTTCAAAATTTGCACACATGACGAATTACTAGCTCAAATTATGGTGAACGCACAATGACAATTGACTGGTGTTTTATGACTAGATGAATTGATAGAAAATCTGAACCACATAAAAGACATCAAACTCACACACCAAGTATTACCCCACCCCAATGTCAGCAACCTGAAATATGATCCAGTTTACCTCCTCTGCTACAATACCCCCATCCCACAAAACTCCTCACCCCATCCATCTCCCCCAAATACCTCTTAATAAACCACAAAAGATCCCAGTGAACCCTCAAGATACAGACTCTCATCCAACTCAACGTCGAAATCTGCGCCTTCCCCATCTTGGGTCGACTTATTTGATTCAGAACTCGAATCGCCATAGTTTCCTAGAAACTTCAACTTAGACAAATTCTGAGGGTGATCCAAGCCCACCTCATTCTTTACATAATTACTCGGGGCTGACACACAGCCTATTCGCGTATAAAAGCTATTTGGTGACGTCGCTCGCTCCTGGAGAAGTAATGCATGAAACCAAAAATCTTCATTATCCGACCCATCTGAGTTTGACAAGATAGGAAGGACTATCACCTCTTTTTCCGCATTGGTCGGCCGGTGCATCTAGCTTTACATAAATAAATCTATCTTCACCCTGCCCAGCGAGGAGGAGAACATTGCCATATCTCTTATCGTTGACAATTGTGTCGCGTATTAGCAGTCCCTGCGCACGAAAGTATCCATCCAATATGGAACCAGTGTCATCGACGCTGGAAACGGGCGTAACTTGTACTTCATCAATTTCAATGTGATATTTAGTATTGGAATGGACGGAAGCAGGGTCGATAAAGCCATCCACAGAGGCCCAGGACCAAGTCGGCGCTCGATAGTCTTTCGGGCGAGAAATGGACAGACCGCTCCAAAGAAGCTGATCGACAAACATATATCTCCAAAGGCCTGCCACATAGACATCACCGAAACTTGCCCGTGTGCACTTGGCCAGGGCACTGACTGCAACTAGTTTGTCCGAATCTTTCGTTAGATATGTTTGACTGTAAAGGACAATTCATTGCGCCCATCTATCGTAAGCAATGCCTTTCATGGTCTTGTTAGCACCGTCTATCAGATACTTCCTTCCATATGAATCGGAACCCGACAGTGGTCTTGACTTGAAATTCATCTGCTTGCAAACTCTTGGTAGCCCTGCTGGGTATGTTTCGCAACTAGCCATCTCCCTGCATTCCCAGAGTAGTTCGCTATCACAAAAATGGAGTGATCGAGGGGACAAGACACGTTCTTGCAAAACCCAGCCTCGCTCTAGCAGTGGTCCACTGTACAATCTCTTGTTCCAGATGTTCTCGTCGATTAAATAGAATAGATCGTTCTGAGCACCTTCCCATTTTGACTGAACTGCTGGACACAGCTCCAACACCTTTGGGTCTCGAGATCGAGAAAGACCCTCATGACTGTTTTTAGAGGCTGTAGCCATTATATTCAGACTACTGTTGCCATAGACATTTTCCATAGAGACAGATTCAGTCTGCCAGTCATCCTCAGAGTCCTGTATGATACAAAGTGAGTCTATCCATATGTAAGGAGTAGAAAACTTTCTAGCAATAAATACAGCCTCAACAAACGTCTTCGGGAGTCGCTCGAGAGGGATACCAGCTTTAAACATTTCCAGATTCGAAACTGTAAGCTTTAGAATATTGGAATTTCCCCAGCAATGACTTAGGGTTGAATAACGTGAGTCCTGGGCCGCTTCTTCTTTTGTTACAACAAGCCTGACATATTTTTCATCTTCATCAATGCGAAGCAGTCTAGTTGGCATGAGGCACTTGGATGCCAGTGGAGCGGTGCAAGTGGTATGCTTCAGTAGACATTCACGATACCACTCAGAAGCTTGTGCCAGTGCAGCATCTGACATCGTGGTATTTCCTGCGATTGACGCATGATTTGTTTCTGGTCCATCATACTCTAGATTGAAGTATGAGTATAGCTGGTTGGTAAGATCTCTAACTTTGGCCTACCGTGGTGTGACATTACGACGAACCTACAATAATCCACTCCAAGTCGAAATGTGAGGAATAGTTGTCTTTTGCGAAATACCGGATCTAATTGCTACATTGAGGATCCTATCAAGGGAGAGATTCCTGCAAGTGTATTCTTAATATCTATATTCTTGCTGAAAGATTCTAGTAATCGATGACAAATCCAACAGCCAGAGGCCGAAGCATCAATGATTGATTGCAAAGAAGAATGATGATGAGGATAACGCATCCGTGAACTTATCTCACTCGCCATTCGACGGCTATAAAAGATCTTCTGGCACGCTTCGCAAAGCATCTTAACTCTATATTTGACACCGTAGAACACGCAAGTACACACAAAGAAGACGATGAAAAGTCGTCTGACGTTATGTAAACTTTACACTCATCAGCGCGGCTGATTTGCGCAGCAAGGCCAACTCATCGATAAAAAACGTCATCTTATACACCTATTTGATTAGTCCAGAATTATCTAGCCAATGATGAATTGTGATTCCACCGGCTAAAATCAGATAGAACAGAAAAAACAATGAGGCTCAAATCGAATACTTATCCAACCAGATGTTGATGACGAAGGGGTGTTATCATCGATATGCACCCATATCCATTCATAAAACATGTGCGCAATCTTTGCGAACAGTGTTTATTTGGAACATATTCAAACCCGTCTCGCTGTCTATGAACTTCTGAATACAGAGATCGAGTGGGATCTAGCCAGCTTCAGGAATAATGAACCAAATAAACCAACCAAACGAAGACAAAACAAGGTAAACGATCGAAAAACACAACCTCACTTCAACAATGCCGCATCATACTTCATCTTCGCTCCATCCCAATCATCGCTGCGTCTACCAACTCAAAAAAGTTCCACTCCCTCACAATACCAGCAACCTTATTGTAACTCAAGTACAAAGTGCGAGTATGAATCAGAGAATTGAAATCCTCTCATCCTCTTGGTCTTAGTCTTAGACGCTTGGACCATACAGTAATCATACCTACTACCAATTCGCCGGACTTCACTTCCCTCGACCTGTCAGTAGGTATTTCGAAGAACGATTCTGACGAAAAGTGGAAGAGCTTACAATTTATAACTCTAACATATCATTTCTTGTACTATTATTCGATTTCCAGATAACGTGACTTTAAAGAGTCTTCAATTTGGCGAGTTTAAGTTAGTGCTGCTGATTAATTCATTCATCCAGCTGGAGCTTAAGTGAGGAAGATTATATCAAGAGGAAGATGTAAGCAGTAGGTAGTACCTACCTAGTATATGCAATCTCAAGGTCAAAGCTCTCGAGAACTAGATTGAGATATATGCACAGATCTTCACAACCGTAAATGGTTTCCATCTAAATGTGCTGGGAATGAAATCTCAGGGAAGATATAAGTACGTATTCTGACCAATCGGTATCTGAACGAGAGGTAGAACGGGGAGACTGATATGGAGGATTACATTTATACTACATATGAGTAAACATACATGTTCTCCCTAACTTTTACAGCTAAAGATGTTTCTGCGGCATGAACTAATAGGGAGAAAGAGTATCAAGATAACAATCTCGTCTCTTCTTGCGGTAGTAACGTCTATTCAAAATTCAAGAAAATCATCAAAACAAAATAAAAATACATCTAACCACCACACCACACTACACCCCAACCTGCTCTCCCCTCCCGTTCCCATCCCCATCTCTCCCCAAGAACTTCCACCCACTCCACCCCAACAAACCTCCTTCCCATTCGACTTCTCCTCATCCTCCTCCCAACTAAAATCAACCTTCATATTCCCATCCAACGACAAATCCACCTACGCACCCTATTCAACACCCTCACGATCCAATTCCACACTCTATCACCCCTCTTCATAATCTTCCCCTACAGCATCGCGCTCAACACAAACGTGACATACGTATCATGATACTTCGAAAACTCAGCTTTCCTTCAGACGTCATCTCTCTTGTATCCGCGCGGACATTATCACCGGGGTCGTCGATAGCGAGTTTGGTGACTTGACACCAGGAATTGGAGGTGATGCGGAGAGGGTTGTGGGTGTTGTTTTTAATTCTGATGCTTGAAAATCAAATTAGATGTATGTATAAGAGAACTTTCGGCTAGAATACTATATTATGTAGAGGGTTTTTAAAGATTCTTAATATCTGATTAGGATTGAGTATTTGGGTGGATGAGAAGATATCTATTAGGTGATGAATACTGAGATGATGTTTTTGAATCATATCTACAGCTGAACTCTTCACAGAATCAGAGTCACACCACCACATGATCATTCCACCATATCAAGATCCAATCCAATCATATGAAGATCAAAATCAAAATCAAAATCAAACCCATCAAATACGACAACACGAAAACACGATTCCCAAAAGATAGATCCTATCCCCCTCTCTTCTCTTCTCCTTTTCAACACCCACCAAAGAGCTAATATCGAACTAATAGCATCCAATACCTTCATGAGATCCCTTCTCAATTTCTCCAATTCACCAATTCATCAATTCTCAATCTGTATCCCATCGACCTGATCAAGTATCAAGTATGAAATATCAAGCAATCATTTGTACTCTAGCACTCTCGCACTCTCGCACTATATCCTTCTATAACTTCTACAAATCACATCAGACTGACTAACTACCTACACAAAAACCAAGTACTCAAGTATCCAATTATGAATTCTACTCGACAAATTTCGAGATCCAATTAAATCAAACAGCAAAACAATGAAGATACGATACTCGAGTAGAAGAGGGGAGAATAAGAAAGAAGAAAGAAACATAGTATCTCGATATCCCATTATATTCTCTTCAGAATATTACACACGTACATGTACAAAGATTATCGATATCAAGAAGTGCACCAGTCATTCATCGATTCCAAGTTCCAAGAGATAAATATCAAGTAGGGAGGAAGAAGAAGAAGGGAAAAATTGTGAGATTCTATAATAAGTATACTAAATCACTTATTAATATCTTACTAATCAAGCTATATATGTATTAATAATATAAGTATAATATGATTTTATATTATAAAATTATATTATTATATTATAATATAGCTATATCTCTTATCAAATTGATTTATAATGAAATAGAATGAGATGAAATCATATGGAAGATTGTTAATAAATTAACTAAATTGATTAATTGTATTTTTCTTTTATGATATAAAATGATTCTGTAAGATTCGATTTAAATCGATTTTATTTATAAGCATAGAAACTACTAGAATTTCATTATAAACTATATAAACCTAGGATATTCTTTAAAGAAAACCTAGGAAAAAGCAAGCAAATTCAGCTCAATTAAGCTCTTTCTTATAACTTGTCTTCAATTCAACTCTTATATTATATTCGATTCGTCCCTCAAGCTAAAGTGACCAAGTCTTCCACTATTACTAGAATATTAATATTATTATTATATTCTAGAACTTACATCCAACAAAAATGATGGGAAGAGAAAGATAGAGAGGACTAGATATTTTATTCTATTTTCGGAATAATCATATATATATGGGAAATTTGAACCAAAACTTTCCAGATCAAAACTTTCTAAGAATCAAAATCAAACCAAATCAAATTACAAACGAGTAGAGAGAAAACAATAGTGTGACACGAAACATCCATTTCATTTCCACCCCCTCTCCCCTCTCCCCTCATCTCCCACTCCAAGAAATCCAAAATCCCAAAATAAAAAGTCTCCAAAGTGTCCCATCCCCAAAACAAACCCATCACCATACCGCCCATCCCCCCCCAAATTCCAAACCACATTCACATTCCCCAGAATCCCAATCAATAAACCCCAATCCATCAATCCACACCACACAAATCTACATTCCTCTTCACCAATGCATACCCCAAACCCCAAACTCCAATCCACTTATCTTAACTCTAGTATTCCTAGTCCGCATTCATAATATTTCCCTCCCCTCATCCCTATCCTCAACCCAAAAAGGAAAGAATAACTGAAACCCTCTCACCACCTCCCACCCCCCAAAAAACTCTCCTTCCGTCACTCCCTCATTCTTCGATTGCCGTTTTCATTATTGATGCAAGTTCTATCCAGCCATAACATTTAATGTATTGAAAATTAAATACCTATGCACTCTAACATCTTCGAGTAATGATGGTTGGAATTTCTATAGATCATTGACTTTGATTAATGCATAGCAAGAATTTAAAACTTGCTTCTCCTTTGCTTTTCGTGTTACTTTCATAACAATGCCTTTTCCTAAGAAATTGATTCCATTTGCATCGTTACTAACCGCGACATTTTTGCTATTACTCTTCAAACCATTTCTCCGCACTCGATGGGAACCGAATGAATTAGGGGCTAGTCAACACAATGATAAACGAATATATGGTGCGAGATGGAGGACGATGCAAGAAACACAGAAACCGATAACCTTTCGTCCAGGGATTGTGAAACCATATCCTGCAACATATTCGAAAATGCTCGTTATCTCCAGGACGAAAGACGAGGATGTGAATTGGATCAGAGAGAATTTCGAAAATGATACTAGTATCCAATCAACCATATATACCGCGGACGATCCTCAAGCCAAATATCATCCACCCAAGAATAAAGGTCATGAGGTTATGATATACCTTTCATATATAATTGAGAATTATAACAATCTTTCGGATGTGAACATATTCATGCATTCTCATCAAATGACATGGCACAACAATGACCTACTCGATCTCGATGCAGTTCAGATGATCTCGAGACTTTCTTCCGAACGTGTTGTACGAGAAGGATATATGAATCTACGGTGTCATTGGCATCCAGGATGTCCGGATTGGATGCATCCAGGAATCGTGGAGGAGGATGATGATAAACAAGAGCAGACGATTATGGCAAGAGCATGGCTGGAACTTTTCCCACTTGAACCGATTCCCACAGTGCTTGCACAACCTTGTTGCGCACAATTTGCCGTTTCGAAAGAGAGGATTCGAACTCTACCACTGGCAAGATACATTTCCTATCGAGATTGGTTGTTGAGAACAGAGATATCGGATTATATAAGTGGTCGAGTGTGGGAATATATATGGCAATTTGTTTTTGCCGGACAAACGACTTTATGCCCGCCAGAGCACATTTGCTACTGTGATGGGTATGGTATTTGCTTTGGAGGAGAAATGGAATATCAAGCTTATTGGGAGAATCAAACCGAAAAGGATAATTTGAGCATTCAACTTGAGGACTGGAATCTACGAAATGGAGAGATGCAGAGTTTAATAGATGAGGGAAGAGGAAATGACATGGAGAATTCGGAGAAACCCGACTCTGCAACCAAAGAGAAGCTAGAGAGGGAGATTGATGAGATTCAACGCTGGCTAGAAACGGCCAAAGAAGAAGCAATGAAACGTGGGGATGTGGCTCTTACTCGAGCGATAGAAGCTGGTAGAGAATGGAAGAATGGAGATGGATTTTGATGACCCAGGTGGAACCATCAATTAATTGTGTCATTGTCTTGCCTCTCTGAAGGTTCAATCCGACCATAATTTACTCAACAGATGAAGCTTGAGGTTGCCTCATCACGGTACTCGCTCATGAAGTTATTGGGGGAAGAGATGCTCCAACTCCATGCGACATACAAGAAACAAGGAATGTCCCGGTTTGAGAGAGAAAGATCGACGACTGAACATCTGGCACTTGAGGTTCACTACCGTAATCTTATATATGGAAGATTAGTGTGCCAGTTCTTAACCCACAAAATATCTTTGCAATCACTCATTCAGGTTACATCAAAGCTTAGCCTCATGTCCCCTGAGAGATCCCGCACACTGCCACCAGAGCGTGGAGCACGTGTCGATCACGTGTAAGGTTCATGGTCATTGAGTCCTTGCGTCCTTGACGGATTTTGTCATATTTTCTGGGTTTTGGATGGAGTATAGATGAAACTGTTCCAGATGTGGCTTGTAGAGATCGTTGAGATGATGGATTTCCGATGAGAGAGAGGGGTGGAGGATAGGGATAGCTACAGAATGATTTGATTTTCAGCATGATTTGGAAAGTGGGAATGGCAGAAATTCGAGTGTAAATGATGATGACGGGAACCAATATTTGACGGGAGGGGACTTTGGGAAGTAATATAATATACTCGGTATGATGTAAAGTGGAAGGGGGAAGAGGTGGGATGAGATGGATCATGGTTCTTTGCCATTGCTCAATAGTTAGGTAATGAATATTGATATACCACAATAGCCAATCTCAATGGACAAAGCATTACGAGTTGTGGATTAATACGAGGAAATACTTCATGGCGGTCTTTGAACATTCATTTGAATGATGATAGCCTTGCTGATGAGTATCATTGGTGTTGTTGTGTATGGTTCCAAGGTAAGTGATATATTGTAGATATCTGAAGTTTCTCCAGATAGCACCTAGGTAGCGTACACGAGATAACGACGACAATACATTAATTGATTGATTGATGTTGATTCTTCAGGAATCAGATGAAGTGATTCCAAACCTTCCAGGGTTTAACCTTACTATGATGGCCCATCCACATGCATTCAATTATTCAATTATTCCATTATTCCATAAAAATTATAGAATAAATCCTACCGAGTACAGAAGTATAAGCCCGATGAGCCCCATCCGGCTCACTAAGGCTTTACGCACCGAGCCACCATACATACACGAACGAAAGATCCGACCCATAGCATAGACATTACATCCTGTCCGCCTTGACTTGTTTCTTCGTCTCCGCGCGTTCACATCTTTGCTTCTTCTGCGTCTTCGGTATCCTTTTTCTCGATTCGACATAGAGTTTGCGATCTCGTCTGGTGAATGGTCCAAGTGATGATGGATAGCAGATCGATCACCTTTTCTCTTTCCTCGTAAGCGAACCGTGTTGGAAGTATTCCGTTAGACTGGCTCGACGGGATTTGATATCTGATAGATTAGATCAGCTCGAGGTCAGGGACACAAGTAATGAAAGGGGCCAGACCACCGAGTACAGTAGTCAGATGGCGTTGGTGTACTCGGCACCCGAGACAGAACCAAACCATTCACTAATAATGCTGTCTCGAGGAGAATAAGATAAAGATGCTGAAGAGCACGAGGTACCGTGTCTCGTGCTTGTGTTTCCCATGTCACTGTCACAATGACCGTTACACCGTTGGTCGTGTCTCAATCTTGGTGTATGTACTATGTGTGATGTTGTATACTAGGTACTATGCTATGTACATGTACGCATGTTACCAGAGTTCCAACGTTTACCAGTAACATGGCACTTAAGTCGGGTACCCTACTTTCGGGCCCCCCCCCTTTTGGGCCACTTTTTACACCAAAAATGGAATTTTTAACTTTCTTATTTATGAATAGAATTTATTGAAAATTTATAAATATATAATTTAGATCATTTTTAGCTTACCTTGAAAATTTCAGATTTTTAGGAATTTTCTGTATTGAGATCTAGAGCTTTAAAATATCGATTTTTAAATTTATATAAGAATCACATATAAATTTGAAACTTTTATAAAATCTTTAATAACTTTTTAATAAAAATTATTAAAAATAAATTATAAAATTTTATTATAAATTTATAATATATTTATTTTAAAGGATTCTGAAAAAAAAGGAAATTTCCTATAAATAAATATTTAAAAGAATACCCTTAAAATTACAGAAATTATTTATACTATTCTAAACTCATTGTATATTATATCTCTATATCTATTAATTTTTTTTAATTTTTTATTATTTTTTATATAGATTTAAATTCAAAACTTTCAAAAAGATATATAGTTTTCTTTTAATGGTTATTATTAAAAAGTTATTAAAGATTTTATAGAAATTTTAAATTTATATGTAATTCTTATATAAATTTAAAAATCGATATTTTAAAGCTTTAAATCTTAATACAGAAAATTCCTAAAATTTTCAAATTTTCAAAATAAGTTTAAAATAGCTTAAATTATATAGATTCAGATTTTTATTAAATTAGATTATATATTAATAAAGATATTAATAGATTAAAAAAGCGATTTTTGATATAAAAAGGTGGCCCAAAACAGAGGTGGCCCGAAAGTAGGGTGGTCGACTTACATTACACCCATATTGCACCAGCATCTGTTTGGTCGTGGTAGATATGTAGACAAGGGCTTGGGAGGCAAAGACGGGGAAATTCATACCATTGGATAAGATGTTATTTTGGGAAGTGTCACCTACTCGAGCAGGTAGGTCAATCAGAGCGATGGTATTACTTTTTTCTACGACGGGGTAATTACTTGGTAAGAGGTATATGACCTCCTAGCTACCTTACCCTACCTATCATGATCAATTGCTCTCAACCAGATGAGTTTGACAAAACAAGTCTTTCTTTTGGTACGATATTACCATGTACGAAGTACAATGAATGCAATGTCCCATGCAATTTACAATCAATGCCATGTGCGATACCCACGATTTTCTCTTAAGAATGTCCTTTCCTTTTTCCTCTCCCCCCCCCCAACATTGGATGAACACTTTGAAGTTCTCCCATCAAGCAAGGACTCTCTTTTCATCCGAAAGCCTTGAAGGCTAAACCGTCGTCGCCAATTCTGTCAAATGAATTGATTTGGATACGATACCCCTGCTAAGATCAAGAGTCAGACTCGAGACTCGAGACTCGAGACTCAAGAGCCACTGGCTGAATGCGACTAGAAGTATTAATAAGTGGTCTGAGCGGGGAGTACCAATTACAATTACTTCCTAGTACCTTACCTTTCACCTCGCCTGGTCTTGGGATCACGATTCACGATTCACGTTTTCTCTCTTGCCGGTTCCTCGTACTTAATCGTGCTGGATCGGATGAGGAAATTGATGGGTCAGTGTCATTCATGGTCATGGCATGGTAGCTTCTTTACTCTTCAGCCCCATTGCCATTGATTCTTCCACGATTACTAAGTTTGTCATCTGGGTAAGTTGGGAGATTAGGAAGACCTCCTCGTACCTACTACCTAGGGAGGTAGTTACTGAGGGAGTTCTGAGGTAGTTACTGAGGTAGTTACTGAGGTAGTTACTGCCTACTCCCTATTCACACTTACCTGGGTACCTACATAGAGATAGAGAGATAGGTACGCCACACCAACCTCCCTCCCTACCCCCCTACCCCCCCCCCTACCTACCTACCTACCTCCCTACCTACTTGAGTATATTTTGCACAAAATTTACATCTCGAATGCTAATTGAGCCAATAAGAAATCATACCATTAATTACTTTTTTTACTTTTTACGAACCTTATTATATAGAGAGGTACATGGACCTCTCACATTAATATTTTCCCCACTCACCACTTTCCACTGACCACTTTTTTTAACTTCGTAGACTATTTCCATCGCCACAGGGATGATACCAGCTTCCCTCTCTTGATTCGTCAATTCCTCAATTTCGCCCAAGAAAATAATTCCAGACTCCCGACACTCCAAGGATTCGTCATGTCGACGAAATCAACAGGATTTGGAGATCAATCACATTCACAACAACCCCTTCAGAGAAAAGGTCGTGCGTACGGTCCTGGTGTGCGGACTATCATAGGTGTTGAACGGAGTAGTTCTGTTATTGGTGGGAACGGGAATGGATTGGGCAATGGATTTGGCAATGGCAATGGAAATGGAAATGGAACGAGAAATGGAAGTACTCCTCGTCTAAGGTCTCCTCCAATTCTCTCTTTGGTATGTCACAAACCGACTCGCTGTCTGTGCAATCCTCCTGTCTTTTTTCCTTTCTCTTGGTAGATTTTCAATTTTGTGCATCTTTTTTTCTTCTTCATATCTACCATTGGAACGGATACATAGGCACATACATATCTTCATCATACACAATTTGGAGGATATCTTCTTTGCTAGTTGCATAGATGTGGAAACACTTGAAGCAGAAGAGAAGGAACAGCCTTCAGGATACATCCCATGTATGTCGGTGATCATCATTACTTTTCTCCATCATTTACCAAGGATTGATTTATCCATACCGCCATTTCACTCATTCTATACTATTGATTCTCTTCGGAGAATAAAGTCTTCACTTGATGGATTCTGGTGGATTGTGGAAAGGAGAACTGCTTCAAAGCGTCACTTAATTTCACTCGTATTTATTTGTTGTCATTCGGCGCATTATCGTTCAGTCATTGATGTTCAATTGAGATTGGTGAAAAAGACGAGACGAGATATTATTTTATGGCTGGACTGACATCACTCTTGCCCCAACTAGTTTCCTCACCCTAATCAATCGACATCTACCGCGCCTGCAGAAATGAACATTCAAAATTTAGCGGATCGTCGTACAGGAACACTTACTTATGGAAAAACCCCCGGCTTTACGCTCCCCACCAAAATCGACGAAGCAAGTGCAGGAGAAGAAGAAGGCGGTGCGGAAGTGAACGACATACCATTTTACAAACCCTATAGACCAGGTCTGGGAGGATCTCATTTGGCAGGACCATCACAAGTAAATCGATCGAGGAGACATTCATTAGAGAGACCATACGACCCTAGCAGTCCAAGAAGGGGAACCGCATCACCTACATCCAGCAAGTCGGCAAAGATCCTACAAGCTCAAGTTGATATTCCTCTGCGGTCAAGGTGAGTTTTGAATAATTATCTACTGCTTTGACAAAGTCAGTTGACGCATCCTAGTAGTAGTCTTTACAACGAAGAACACCGCGAGTCTGGAGAACAACTACAAGATCACTTTGACATTCCAGAGAGAGAGGAGCGCATAGAAATTAGAGATTCAAAGCAAAGTAAACTGGCTTCGCCACAATCATTATCCTCGCCTTCGACAATGCGTTCGCGTTCGCGTTCTCGAGGCGGTTCCGTGTCGTCATACCAAACAAATGCGACATCTCTGCCAGCACTGCAAAAAACGGGAGTTCTAGAAGAGGGAGAATTGTTAGAGCCATTGAATGAAGAAGATATTGATCCGGGATCTTTTGATCTTGTGGCGGCAACTGAGATCGGAGGCAAACGATATTCTCTAGAGACCAGATCAGAACAACTCTTTTCGACAGAGCATCTACGGATCATCTTCAGTGATCCTTCACTACTTTTGAGATTCACTTCTTTTCTAGGTGCACATAGACCTTCTTCAATTCCTATACTCATATATTACCTAGATGCTGTTAAAGCACTCAAGGCTATTTCGTATTCAAATGCGATTGCGGAAGCTCTGGAACCAATTCCTGGTTTCGATTTTACCGCCACTGCAGCCTCCAAGACAATGAGCGCTGCATTAGAAGAAAAGGCCGCAAAAGCTTTCGATGTTTTAGTTCGGGAGGATCTTCCTGCTTACATTACATGGGCATATATCCAGACCGTCAGTATATCGATCCAGAGACGAATCACTGGAACTTTACCAGCACATCTAAGAGAGGCGTCCGAGGGCTTAGCTGAAGTCTTTTGTTTAACCGATCCATCTCGCCCGGATAACCCTATTGTTTTTGCTTCCGAGGGTATGTTATAATGAACTAATCGGTAGACGTTGGCTAACCATACTTTAGAATTCCACCGAACCACACAGTACGGTATGAGTTATGTTCTTGGCAGGAATTGTAGGTTCTTGCAAGGACCGAAAACAAACCCGTTCAGTGTGAGGAGAATTCGAGAGAAGGTTGAAGCCGGGCAAGAACATTGCGAGACTTTTCTGAATTAGTGAGTTTTGTCTGAACACGCTTGGGGATGATGGCTAATTAGATGATAGTCGACGAGATGGATCTCCATTTATGAATCTTCTAATGTGCGCCCCACTGTGCGACAGTAGAGGCACGATTCGATATTTCATTGGTGCACAGGTTGATATTTCGGGTTTGGTCAAAGAATGCGCAGAATTAGAATCTCTTCAACGTCTTGTTGCGGCAGATGAGCTTGCCCAGGAGCGTGAAGCGGAACGAGCAGCAAATCCTGACGCAGAACTCGAGGAATATCCAGCACCACCACCCAAAGACGAATTCCAAGAATTAAGCGAGATGTTGAATATGCAAGAGCTGGACACAGTACGCAAGTGGGGAGGAAGAATGCACAAAGAAACTGAGGAGGAAAATTCTGACAGCAATCCACAAAAAGGGAATTGGCATAAACCGAGATTGCATATCAAGAGTACAAGTCCCGAGAGCTCAAATCCACAACTTGGACGTATTAGTGGAAAACTTGGTGGTATATATGAGAATTATCTTCTTGTTCGTCCATACCCAAGTTTGAAAATTTTGTTTGCAAGTCCGACACTTAGAGTGCCTGGCATCTTGCAATCGCCTTTCATGGCGAAAATAGGGGGTAGCAATCGTGTTCGCGAGGAGTTAACTCAAGCTCTAGCTGATGGACGAGGAGTCACTGCTAAAGTACGTTGGGTAACAAAGGATGATATCGATGGTCGACCACGATGGATTCATTGTACACCACTTATGGGCTCTAATGGTTCAATTGGTGTATGGATGATCGTTATCGTTGACGATGAGACTTCACAACATAACAGCAAGAGATATAGACTCGCCCCAGCTGTGGATCCAAGATTTGGAAGAAGTATACCATTTACGAGCAAAGCAGACAGTAGTGCGGGAAGTATCAGGGATTTCTCTATTATCCAGCACAATGGATCCTCGGCACAACCAAGGACGCCGAGATCACACAAAAGTATTGAACTTGATGATGAGAGTAGTATGAGGAGTGGTAGTCCGTATACTTTGAGGATTGATTGATTGATACATCTGAAAACATCAAAATGGCAAGCGGATGATCTTTGGTATTGTTTGCTCGTGTTGTAATTTTCTTCTGTCATGGAGGTTTCGATTATTGCTATACTGCTAGCTGGACAGCTTAGGCTGCTGGATTGAATGGGAGGTTGTTTGTTTCTTCTTCAGATGATTGCGTTGCATTTTAGCGTGTTGTTTTGCTTGTCTCACTGTTTTTAGAAATTTGTGTTTTGAGCGTACTTTATTAGTTATACTGTCGTATTATGTACTACGAAGACGAAAAATTCTCGTTGGAGGAAGGGGAGAGGGAAAGGGGAAATATCATATGGGATATGGGATACGGGAAAAGATATGAAGAGGAGAAGAAAGACAAAAGGAAAATGGTTGAAAGGAAGATAAACTTAATATTGCAGCGAGGGAGCTGGCATGATCGCTTGCAAAAGGAGGATGAATGATGTTGGCATTAGCATTAGGTTGCACTTATTGCTTTGGCTACCTATGGCTAGAAAATTCGCTTTGGCTAACATGCTTGGGCTATGTATAATATGATATCGTATGATACCGACGCATTATTCGGTGTCTATTAGACTGAATTCCTCGAATATGAGTTATTCGAGATGCGAGTGTTTTTTTTTTTTTGTGAGTTTGTGTTGAGTGATGTGATGTGATGTGATGGTGATGTGTATATATGTAAGGAGTATTTTGTACTTCTTGTAGTGTGATGTAATGTAGGTATGAAGGGTAGATGGGCGAGTGGGCAGGAGATAGATAGGTAGGTAAGTGAGCAAGGAGTATTCACCTCGATGTTAAAAATATTAAAGATATTAAAGATGTTAAAGATGTTAAAGATGTTAAAGATGTTAAAGATGTTAAAGATGTTAAAGATGTTAAAGATGTTAAAGATGTTAAAGATGTTAAAGATGTTAAAGATGTTAAAGATAGATATTCATTTATTTATTCGTATCTAAATAGGCGACGCGAGTCTTTTCTTATCTGTTTATCGATTTAACTATTTAACTATTTATTTATTTAACTATTTATCTATCTATTTATTTCACTAAGTTCCTTATGTATATAACTCGATAGCTGAGCGATATATCTTGTTTTAGTAAAGGAAGAGGAAGAGGAAGAGGAAGAGGAAGAGAAAGAGAAAGAAAAGATAGTTAATGTATATAGATGAATGTTTATACGAATTTCTATTTTATTCGAGTTTATTTATTTATTTATTTAAGTAGATATACGAATTGAGATTCAATATGAATTTGAATTTGGATTTCGAGAAAAAAAGAAAAAAAGAAAAAAAAGGTAAACGAAAAAGGCAAAGAGAGAAGAGATAGAGAAGGGGGGAGGAGGAGAGGAGAGGCAAAAATTGAATCTTGAACATCAATTTGAGTTCAGATCTTAATTCGGGTTTTGAGGATGAGAAGAAAAAGAGAAGAATAAGAGAAGAGGGAAGAGAAACGAAAAAAAGATAACAGAGAAGAGAACAAAGAGACATCATCTGAATAAAAACTTCCATTCACTTCATTTTAATGTCATACAAATTCCATACAAATTCCATACAATTCTAAACCATCCAATCCAATCCAATCCATTTCATTCCCACCTAAAACTCAAACTCAAAATCAATCACAAAATCAAACTCCATATCCTCTGTACAACACCTAAATCTCTATCCGTAAAACATGTCCATAACCAGAACCAGAACCATAACGCTGATCCTATCTTATTCCATGCCATTCCATGTCATCCAATCCTGTATGTTTACCCCTCCCCCTATCCTACCCTATCTCCCACTACCATCAAAATCAGACGCCCGAGGTATAATACAATGCATCATTTACACATTACCAATTCGGATTTTTGAAACCATACATATACCCCTTGATACATTTCGACCATGTGATGGAGGAAGTAAGTAATCTTGAATCGCATCAAGATCACTTGCTCTTTCCTATCCTTTTCTTTCAAAGAAAAATTGGCCTCCAAATAGTCCCATTCCCCGTTAACTCGTCCATGCCGATCCGTGCCGTACAATACTGAACCTCTTCGCTGAAGATGAAGCAGTCTGTTGATTTCCATCAACTTGGTAGAATGTAACAATGTCCTCATTCGATGAGTTCCATCTAAGCTCCTCTCTCACCTAAACCCTTGACCTCCCATTCCACCCCACTCACTCCCTGTTCCTCGCGTGTCACTCCCAACATTATCGAAAATTCCGTCCAAATTCATCCCAGTGTTATACACCAAATTCTGAGGATTGAACCCTGTACTTCCGGTTCCACTTGTGTTCGTATTCGCGGTTGTCCCGTGCATCATCCCACCCATGCCCCCGCCGCCAACTCCGCCGTTTCCACCTCCCGGTCCCGCCCCAGACATATCGAAATCATGCTGGGCCTGCATCATATAAGGGGGTAACGGACCGAAAAGTTGTCCCTCCAAATCATCAAACATTCCATTTCCAGTCCCTGCTCCACCACCCATATACATTTGCTGCGCCCTTGTATTATCCATATCATTCTCCTGCTTCATAATTTGTGCATCGAATTCCATCATTGGTTGATTCGGATACGCAAAAGGATCTGTAGATGGAAACATCAACCCTGTGAGATATGGGATACTGTTATTAGCATTGAATTGATTTTGTACACCATATTGTGAAATGCTGTGACTAGTCGAAGCTGTGCTTTCAGGAGTGCCAGCCGTGGACAAATCACTTGGTGATACGAGATCTTGAAACCCTTGTCGAAGATTTGGATTGGATGCTGTGTTCATGTGGAAGCGGTTGTTCAAATTTTGCATTGGAAGACCGTTGGTTTGAAGAGGGGTGGGGGTTTGAGGGAATGTCGTCGCGCGAGGTATTGGAGTAAAGTGACTCGAATTTGGTCTTGGAATCTCGGGACTACTGTGGTGCGCCGGTTGAGTAGATGGCGGTGCTAATCTTTTCTTCTTCGATGGAACCGAAACGGAACGATTTTTTAACTTCTCTGGTAGTTGTTCAAACAGTGGCTATCTGGGTTAGATAAATATTAAATTGTGGAACGGGGCACCAACCTTGAGAGTTTCAGAACACCTATCAGCGGCCATGCTTCTTTGAGCTAGACCAATTAGAGCATCCTTTCCATCATTTGCGTCTGCCAAAATCTCTGCGGCTCCATTCTTATCGGGATTCTCAAGAACGTAGTATACCAAGGATATGACAGAAAAGAAGGTTGTATACATGGTAAACCAATATGCCCCTACCAATAGACCTTTCTTCTTCATCTCTGCGGTAATATGAATGATATTGCGGGCTACACTGACACAGGCAGCTGCACATGCATATGATCGCTCATCAATGGTTTTCCCGGCACAACTTTTTCCCGAGACATAGTGAAGAAAGGGTCGATATAGCATCATTTGAACGTGGGCGTATGCTAGCCGTAATAGTTGTTGTATACTATATTGCCATTAGTAAATATTCATGATCACTCAAGATCTAGACCATTGTAGTAAATCTCGAATCCTCTATCAAAGTATTGTATGCTTGACTCACCGTATCAATTCGGGTGGACCGTCACCTCCAGGACGTAGTCCCATGGGTAACATGTCCAGCCAATCTGCTAGATCCTTTTCAATCTCTCGGATTTTTGAGTGACTAATGGTATATGACGCCTTGCTGTTGCCCGTGATAGATTGCTCCAAGCCTTTGATTGGATAGATGTGTTTGACAACCTTTGTTGTAATACCCATGAGTCGAGTATGAGCATTTGAAGCTACAAACAATGACATCTTGCCAGGAGGCATAGGGAGTATGGCTTCCTTAGTTATATACTCATCGTCTACCTCAAGTGGCATATCTTGGTCTATGTCGTCGCTACTTAACATGATAGGAAATCCTAGAATAGCAGAAACATAGGTATCAAGCTTTCGAATTATCCAGAATACTCGCTTTCTAGTTTCCCGCTCAATAGGATTGAAATTGCCACTGAGGCTACGGTGTAAGCCTATGCGCAACGCAGATCTTAGGGCAAGACCTATGTAAGAATAACATATGCTCAAGTTTGATGTTGCTTGTAAGAACAGGATCATGAATATGATTGTTTGCAAAGACGTCATGTCGCGACAATCAGTGAGATCCATCATTTGCCGAGCGGCTTTGTAATATTTAAATCTAATGAGATGTTAGCCGTGCAACGAATTGGAGACGAAGTAGCACATGATCCAAGCTTGTACCATCCGCGAAGTTCAGGTAAGACGAAGCTACGGAGCTACATATATGCAAATCATCGCTAAAGACTGCACTCACCCTTGATCCATACTACTCTTATACTTCTTTCCATCCGGGTCCGTGGAACTGGAGGGCCGTGACGAGAACATGCAACCCAAAGCTAAAGCCATGTATAGTAACGGCAGAAATTTATGCTCTTCATCACCAAAACTGTCAGGTGGTAGATCGTATACCCTATTAAACATTTCATAAAAACTGGGTTCATGAACGAAACGTAAGAGACAACAAGCGCAATGTAATGAATCTTCACATAAAGACATGGCTACTTCTCGCGGAGGTAGATCCATTGTGTTGGGAAGACCAGAATCATAAGGGGAATCAGTCGATGATCTTGGAGAATCGAAAGTGGGCGGCATTTGCGCACGTGGTGGCTTGGGAAGCAAGTTGGGAGATCCGAGTAAACTACCAAATTGTTCACGCAGACGTCTAATGAAAACAGTTCCCGAGGAACCACCATGAAAGTCCCAGTTTCCACGTTCATCAAGATCGAGTTGCCCTGTAGATTCTATCATTGATCGCAACTGCGCATCTTCTTCTGATAGCTGTGGCTGTTGTGGGGTCGCACTTGGCATGGAGCTCGTAGTCGAAGGGGTCGTCGGCGCAACCTGTCGGTGTAGTAATGATGCAGCATCTATGTTTGGATCGTTCAGATTTATGTTTGGAAGATAAGCTTTTATGATGCTTTCTGCTCGTTGTAGACGAAGCTCCAACGATTCGACATACTGCGGCGCGGGGTTCCTTCTTCTATTTGAGGGCTGATCATATGTACAATCTGTCATGGCACATTGGTCAACGATAAATGTCAAAATACGTAAATCACAAACAGTATCATACCATAACTATATACAGTGCAATGAGTACAAGGTTGCTTTCCATCACACTTTATTTTCTTCCTCCTACATTCATCACACGCCCTTGTAACTCGTCTCCTCTTTTGCAAGGGCGCAGGACGTGGTTGCGATGAAGGCGCAGGCCAATCCTCTGCGGGCTCCAGGTCGGGAGATGATTGATTCGGACTGAGAGGAGTTTCTTGACTTGGTTGAGCTTGAACTGGTTGCGATTGCGGCTGTTTGTCGGTCGATGTGCCTGACATCTTTGAAAAAATTATAAGTAAGAAAATTGAAAAAGACTTCTTTGAGTCGGTATCTCTCAAAGTGAGGAAGGAAAAGATGAATCAATTGTAACTTTTTCTATTATTCTGCTACGATTAATGGAATCACAAATCGGACTGGGCCGAATGAGGTATTGGTAAGGAAGATAGTGCTCGGGCAATTGACCCCTCTTATTCTTCTCGAGTAGTCTTGACGTTGACGCCCTCGGATATAAGGGAAAACCTGGGCTGAACAAGAAGAGTCAATAGGAAAAGGGCAAGGCAAGGTAGTAGCAATTGACAAGAAATATTCCGCTTGGCAGCGCAAAAGATGCAGCTATTGAGGTCTTGGGAGGGATGACAACGTATGGATGTATGTATGGATGGATGGATGGATGGATGGATGGATGGATGTATGGATGTGTGGATGTGTGTAGTATGGATGTATGCAGGTCTGTAGTCTGTAGTCTGTAGTCTGTAGTATGGATGTATGTAGGTCTGTAGTCTGTAGTCTGTGGTCTGTAGTCTGTGGTCTGTAGTCTGCAGTCTGCAGTCTGTAGTATGTAGGTCTGAAAGTAAGAAAGTAATCAAGAGAGAGTGCGAGGTCGGTCGTTTCTTCTCTGTAGTGACTCGATGGAATTCTATCATGCATAAACTGCATCAAGTACCCAGTATGCTGAATAATACCATACCATTGGGGGAAAAAAAAAAGGTACCTTTCTAATTCCTTCTTCCTCTTCCTGTTATTATTGCATACATATAAGGAAAAGGTATGCGGGCGTACAGAAAATAATGGATCGAGTAATTGCCATTGTCCCATGGTTAAACCGTTACTGTAATGAGATAACGACTAATACAACCAAGGATGGATTTCACCCAAATGGATATGCAAGCAAGCAAGCAAGGCAAGGCGGATCGTGCGGAAATAAAAAAGATGGGATGGGATTGGCTTGAATCAATGGATTAATTGGGTATCCCGAGCCTTTCTCTCTTTTGGGTCTTGGTGGTCTGGAAATATTGAAATAATTGGGTCCCTTCAAATGATGGGAGGAACCAGTGAAGTGAGTGAAGTGAGTGAAGGTTGGGTAGAGAAGTGAAGATGGAAAAAGAAAGAAGGGGAAAAGATGGAAATAGTTAGGTATTCAAAGTTATTTATTACCTTTGTAGGTAGGTATTTCTTCCCCTGTGCTCTTTGGGTCTCTCTTGGGTTGTCGTTTTTTCTCCAATTGAAGTTCATCTACCTACGAGTACCTATTGATTGATTGATTGATCGATCGCTTGCTTGCTTGATTGATTGACTGCTTGACTGCTTGACTGCTCGCTTGATTGATTGACTGCTCGCTTGATGGATGTGATGATAATTCAAGAAAATAATCTATTCTCTACAGTAAGTACACAGCCAATGCAGCAAGAGTTCATGATCGACATTCAATCTTTCTCAATATGTAAAGGTGGGAAAAGCTTTTAAAGGTGCAGTGTAGTGGGACGATATAGAAAGATTTAAGAAAAACGCCAGAACATCATCGCCAAGCCACTTGGAATCATTCGATAAGAGGTCCGCCGCCCAGCGGGATCACTATCCATCAAGTAATCATGAGCAAGGATGGTGAAGGGATGAATTCCGTATTCGCTCAATTAACCCCAGTTGGGTCACACCATCACCGGGACTATACCGCATACTTGTTAGGAGTCGAATTATGAATGTCGGAAAGTCGGGTCGGGACCGATCAATGCAAGGCTTGAGTAGAGGAGGCGAGTAGAGCAGAGTATGTAGCATGTTAAATTGACGGGAGAGGAGAAAGAGAGAGCAAGACGATGATGATTCATTCGAGGTATTTATATTATGATATTGCCATTTTGTATTGTATTGTATGTGTTGGCTTTCACCGTATCTCCCTCCGTATCTCCCTCCCTCCCTACCACCCTCTCTACCTCCCTCCCTAGCTTTTCCAGCCTTGTGAGTTCAAGGATGTTCTCCGTACTATCTTATTTTGATGAGGGGTCCGAGGAGAAATGACCGTGATATCAATTCTACAGTCTTGGCAAGGCGGAAGCTAGCGAGGGGAAACATCTTGAATGACTCAAATTATTCATTCCGGTTGATTTGTCCTTGTTCACACGCGATGGGCCGATATAGATGGGCGAAAGTGATTAAGTAATTTGCACAACAAGTAATGAGAATTTCATACAAGTACCTAGGTAGGTAGGTAGGTAGGTAGGTAGGTGGGTAGGTAGGTGGGTAGGTAGGTGGGTAGGTAGGAGGTAGTCATTCAATGTTTTCATCCGAGTATAAAATAACACTCCACTCGTTGGAATGTTCAGGTACTCTGTATACGAAGTTCGAATGTAACCATCAAATATTTTTCATATTCCACTTCCATTTACCTCGATGCCTAGTATTCACATACCCATGGATACACTACTATAATACTACTGTACTAGGCACTAGGAAGTCCATTTTGGTGTGTGTGGGCTACTATGTGAATGTGGAGCTTACGACCTATTCTGTCCCCTTGCATTTGGCAGATGACTTTACTTTATCCCAGATACCTAGGGAGGTAGGACTTTGGGAAATGGTAACCATCTAGTAACCATCCCGTAACCATTCAGGATCAAGAGATGCTCACAGTTACATTTGGAGAGATTTATCACATTCTTTTTTCTTCTTTTTCAGAGATCCATCACTACCTTCCCACCCGAGCCACCTTATTAGTACTACTTCAGATCATTCTCGTATCTCCAGCTCCAGCTGTCTCTCTCCTCGGGTCTCCTTAGGGATGCACCTCGGTAAGGCTGGAGATAGGTTGTCGTTTAGTTTTATTTGGTTTGATTTTATTCTATCTTATGCTTGTATGATGTATTCTCTCTGTATATCTGATTCTCATATGCCGTTCATCACATCCGGCTGGTCCTGTCTTGTTCTTGGAAGGCGGACTCGACTCAGATATCCTTGCTAGAATAACACGGCGCTTTCAGATGACTTGCATCAAGGGGTCATTTATTATGATCATCTCACTCTTTTTTTCACCCAACTCCAAACAAATCCTTATCAATCTACTCCGTAATAAATGAAAGACTCATTGACTAGGTACCCAGCCAGGTAGTAATAAGTCGCAGGGAGGGAGGTGTGCTCACATCATTCATCAAGTTCCAAGATACAAACAGATTGTGATTTTTTTTCTTTTCTCCCAACCATCCAATCCGCATCGTTCAACTTCAACGCCATTCAACGCCATCCATCCCCCCCCACGAAAAAGCAAGCCACAAGCCACAACGCAAGTATCATGCCCAGCTGGAGAGCCCAGCATTTCTAGATTCTCCAGTCCTTTAGTGCCCGCAGAAAAAGGCGAATGAGGGGCCAAAAATTGGAAATTGGAAAAATTTCAAAGTTGGAAGGAGGGGCAGGGCCGCATTTGAGTGCGTCATACCTTAACCGCACTCTATACTCTAGTACCCTTCTTTGGTCAATTGCATCAGCTTTTACGAATAGCAAAACCTCAGAACCACACAAATCTCATATATCATTGGCTCCATTGGCTCCATTGGCTTCCTTACCTTCACCTTCATGACATGAGACAGTGACGTTCATGGATAATTCTTTGTTTTCGTCTTGGTCAGGAAGAGGGAAGAGAGAAAGAGAGAAGAGAGAAAGAGAGAAAGACAGAGAAGAGATGTCCAATGTACATGCAGCAAGCAAGAAAAGATCCATTCAATGCAATGCTTCTTTTTATTCGGGTCTGGCTGTCAGAAAACCACAATAGGTGTAAATCTCTTACACACATGCTTATTTTTTCATTCTCATCAATTGGTCTGTCAGATTTGCTCTCGGGGATTCTTCCTTCACTACCCACGCTCCACATAAGTATAGTATGATGGGGTAGCAGGTAACGTACCTTGGTAGTAACTTTACACTTTCATTTGATCGCTGCTACTACTTAAACTTAAAAGAATCTATCTTCTTTCCAGTCCTCTTTTCATCTAGCATTTATTCTTTTTTATCCAATCGAGTTGCAAGATTGGTAAAATCTGAGATTGTACCTGAATTACCCACCTTGAATTGTTCTGGAAACGAACAACAAAGGAGACCTTTGACACCTTCACAAAGCTCTACTTGAAATAGAGATTGCTTGTATCCGTTGGTCGAGTGTGTGGTTCCTGTTATTATTATCATTTACAACTTCAATTGATAGATTGGACATAAAAATATAACCAGCAAGATGACTTCCATGAAACCAATCTTCTGTGCTACCCACCCCCGAGCTTGCTCTACCGCATTCGAAAGAGTGAGTACCAATTGACTTTGCAGCTCTCTCTGCTGCCAATTGACTAATGTATCTGTAGGTCTTTATGACTCGCGATGATGTCCTTGCCTGTGTTCACGAACCCTTTGGAGATGCATTCTACTTTGGTCCCGAGAGACTGAGCCCGAGATATGAAGATGATGAAGCCGCGCGCAAGGAGAGCGGTTTCGCAGATAGTACATACAAGACAATTTTCGAGAGAATTGAGAAAGAAGGCAAAGAGGTTAGAATTGAATCCGCTTCTACCCTTATTCCGATCTTTCTTTTAGATAGCGTTGGTCCTGCAGGTTTACCGGAGCTCTCGAGATTGGTTTGGGCATAAGACAAGTGTCTGGCAATACGAACTCCATTTTTACTATATGATACCCGGATATTCTCTACACCAAAATCAAAAGAGCTCCGGCCCTATTTTTATATTAATCTACGTTTTCTTTGACGCTCTAGACTATCTCATGGAAGATGTACTGTTCATGCGCGCGAATTTCAATCCCTACAAGCACGTACATTTATCCTGATGAATCAGCAACTTACACCAAAATAGGGAAAACGACTATTCATCAAAGATATCATTCACTACCTTGTACCACCTCAGAAAAACCCAGCATCAATTGCTCCTTCACTTGGAGGTAAAAGTGTCAAGAAGGGTGTCGGCACCAATGGCGAAACAAATGGAGTAAATGGGGTGTCAAATGGGGAAACCAATGCACTTAACGGCCACACAAATGGCCATACCAATGGCCACCCCAATGAACACACTAATGGCACCACCGCCAAAGCCCCATATCCATACAATACCGTCGCTGAGCCTGGAAATCCCACCGTCGTCCCCGCCGAAATCCTCAAACAATTCCACTTCACCTTCCTCATCCGTCATCCCCGCTCTAGCATTCCCTCCTACTTCCGCTGCACCATTCCTCCCCTAGATAAAGTCACCGGTTTCTACAACTTCATGCCCGAAGAAGCCGGCTACGATGAACTCCGTCGCGTCTTCGATTTCCTACGCTCCAACAACCAAGTTGGTCCCCCCCTCGCAGGAACCTCCGAGTCCGAGGCGGAGAATCTGAAAGATGGGGAAGTGAGTATTACGGTTATTGACGCAGATGATCTGTTGGA